ACCTTGGAGATCTTCTACTCCCTGACTGAGTAGGAAACCCTATGATGGATGGATGGGGAGACGATAGAGAGACACGCAGGCAGGCAGGCAGGCAGGCAGCTGATAGACCAGGGATCTTCAAACTTGAGAGCTTTAAGTCTTGTGGACTTCAACTCCCAGAATTCCTCCTCCAGTCATGTTAGCTCAGGAATTCTGGGAGTTGAAGTCCACAAGTCTTAAACTGGCCAAGCTTGAAGACCCTTGTGATAGATGATGGATGGATGGATGGATGGATGGATGGATGGATGGATAGATAGATAGATAGATAGATAGATAGATAGATAGATAGATAGATAGATAGACAGACAGACAGACAGACAGACAGACAGACAGACAGACAGACAGACAGAAGTGGATGGATGAATGGATAGATGGATGGATGGATGGATGGATGGATGGATGGATGGATGGATGGATAGATGATAGACAGACAGACAGGTATAGATGATAGATCAGGGGGTCTTCAAACTTGACAGCTTTAAGTCTTGTGGACTTCAACTCCCAGAATTCCTCTCCAGTCCATGTTAGCTCAAGAATTCTGGGAGTTAAAGTCCACAAGCCTTAAACTGGGCAAGTTTGAGGAACCTTATGATAGATAGATAGATAGATAGATAGATAGATAGATAGATAGATAGATAGATAGATAGATAGATAGATAGATAGATAGATAGATGTGGATGGATGGATGGATGGATGGATGGATGGATGGATGGATAGGGATGGATGGATAGACTATAGACAGACAGACAGACAGACAGGTATAGATGATAGATCAGGGGTCTTCAAACTTGAGAGCTTTAAGACTGGTGGACTTCAATTCTCAGAATTCCTCTCCAGTCATGTTAGCTCAGGAATTCTGGGAGTTGAAGGGCACCAGTCTTAAAGTTGCCAAGTTTGAAGGCCCTTGTACTAAAGGGACAAAAATGTGGTTACATGGAACCTGGGGACCAGGCTGTTCCCCCAAGAAAACCATCTCTGATCAAGGAGAGATTCAACTTGGAAATAAGGAGGAATTGTCTGACAGGGAGAACAATCAATCCATGGAACAGAAGCTGCCTTCGGAAGTTGCAGGAGCTTCATCACTTGAGACTTTCAAGAAGAGACTGGACTGCTATCTGTCACAAATGGTGTAGGGTTTCCTGCTTGGGCAGGGGGTTGGACTAGATGACCTACAAGGTCCCTTCCAACTCTATCAAATCACTCTGATGCGTTTTTGGGGGGGAATGGGTGGGTTGCTGGGCCATTCTTCTGCTCGCTAGATCCTGCAGAGAAGATCACTTGGAGAAGATGCCCTGGAGAAGATGGCTGACCACCAGCTGGTGAAGGAGCAGAGGTCCGGGGCCACCCTGATCTCAGTGGGCATATTGCTGTGCTGAGGGGGCCCGGTCTCTGGCTGCTGTTCTGACCACTTCCAAGGTGGGCCTCCAAAACTTCCTCTCTTGCTAGACAGGGGAGTCTATCTACAGCAGAGCTCCAAAGTTGGCAACTTTAAGATTTGTGGACTTCAACTCCCACAATTCTCCAGCCAGCTATGCTATGCTATGCTATGCTGTGCTGTGCTGTGCTGTGCTGTGCTGTGCTGTGCTGTGCTGTGCTGTGCTGTGCTATGCTATGCTGGAGAATTCTGGGAGTTGAAGTCCACAAGTCTTAAAGTTGCCAAGGTTGGAGACTCCTGACCTAGAGGAAAGATCTCCAGAAGAAACCAAGGAAGAAGTCACCAACAGCTAAACATCTCCACCTGTGGGACAGGTGTGGTTCTGCTGAGCTGGCTGGTGCTGGTCAGAAAGGGGCCTGGAGATCTTTGTACAGTCCCTTCCTAACCCGAGGGTCCTCAGCTTGTCTTCCAGGGCAGCCCCCCTTGAAGAGAGTTACAGGTCGTCCTCAACTTACAACTGTTCATTTAGTGACCGTTTGAAGTTACAATGGCACACTGGGGGAAAAAAAGAAGTGACCCATGGGCAGTTTTTCACACTTAAGAGCCACGGGGGGGTGCAGTGGTTAAGAGTTCAGTATGCCACCTGACACGGTGGCTCAGTGGCTAAAATGCTGAGCTTGTGGATCAGGAAGGTCGGCAGTTTGGTGGTTCGAATCCCTAGCGCCGTGTAATGGAGTGAGCTCCCATCCCTTGTCCCAGCTTCTGCAGTTCGAAAGCATGTAAAAATGCAAGTAGAAAAATAGGTACCCCTCTGATGGGGAAGGGAACAGTGTTCTGTGCGCCTTATCAGCGTTTAGTCATGCCGGCCACATAACCACGGAGACGTCTTCGGACAGAGTTGTGGTCCGCCAGCAGCCTGTGCAGACGGCAGCAGAGTCGGACAGTGGGGAGGAACACGGGCCAGTCCGGGAAGGACCCGGATGAGGGTCCTGCATCCGATGCAGAAATGGGGCCAGGACCATCTGGAAGTGGGGTACTGACTCTGGAGCCTCCAGAATCTGGCAGCAGTGAGGCAGAGGAACAAGGGGAGCCTGTTCCCAGTGCGTGTGTGCGCAGAGCTTCCAGAAGGCAAGAGCAGCAGGAGTAAGGCTTGGAGGTGATTGCCCCTCCCATGAGATATAAAGGAAGTGCAAAGGGACAGGAACCTTTGCAGGAAGCAACGTCGTTCGCGCTGTTCAGATTATACCTTGAAGCTCTGTGTAGACTTCATTTGACTTTTTAGTTAAATTTGGCACTTTAGCTGTGGGCAGCAATTCAAAGGGAGAGAAAGGTGGGTGCTTATGTCTAGTGATTGTTTGGGACTCATTACTGGCTGGGAATGAAAATAATTCCCAGCGTTGAAATAACACAAGAGTTGTTTGGACTAAGCGGGTGCTTAATTACGGTCTCAGGAAGCCTTGGTCAGAACAGACAGCGCTCACACTTTGGCTTTTGTAACGGAGATGAGCACCGGCCCCTAGAACCGGAAACGACTAGCACATATGCGCAAGGAGAACCTTTACATTACTTTACTGCAGGCTACTTCTTTCTGCTGACTGCCGGCTGCCTGCAATTTGGCAGTTCGAATCTCACCAGGTCAAGGTTAACTCAGCCTTCCTTCCTTCCGAGGTGGGTAAAATGAGGAGCCAGATTGTTGGGGGCAAGAGGCTGACTCTGCGAACTACTCAGAGGGGGCTGGAAAGCCATGTGAAGCGGTATACAAATCTACGTGCTATTGCTATGACCCTTGCGGCATCCTTGTAGTCACATGATTTACATTCGGATGCTTGACCACTGACTCATGTTTATGACGGCCGCAGCATCCTGGGGTTACGTGATCCCCTTTTGTGACTTCCTGACAAGCTAAGTCAATGGGGGAAACCCAGGTTCACTTAATGACCGTGTGACTTACTTAACAACTGGCAGTGATTCGCTTAACAAATAGGACAAGAAAAGATGCTTAATGGGACATTTCTCACTTAGCGGCATAAATGCTGGGCTCAATTGTGGTCATAAGCAGAGGACTACCTGCAATGAAGAAGAGCACGACTCCAGTCTTCAGCATGATGGGAGAAGACCCAACTGGCGGATTGGCCAGAGAGATTTGAGCCTCGGCTGCCGTGACTTCACCTGTTGGACCAGCAGTCCAGCTGACCCCTTGATGGCCCACTGGCTCTCTGGAATCCCAATGGTGCTTTTTTTTTCCCCAAGAGGTAACTGGACTTCGCTTCTCAGCCCAGAAGCTTCTTCGGTTCTGACTGGATGGTGGGGAATGGAAGGATTGATACGCCTGGACTGCCATCGGTCAGAAATGGTGTAGGGTCTCCTGCTTGGGCGGGGGTTTGGACTAGATGACCTCCAAGATCCCTTCCAACTCTGCTATTCTGTTATTCCTTTCGGGCTGCTGGTCATTTGCATCCTTTTTAGAGTCCTTGAGGCCACTTGGAGGTTTACCTGTGTCCTCAGGGTCAGCTGAGTGGTGCAAATGGGTGTGGAGCCTCCTCGGCTGCAGGATGCTGTGTGTCCTGTGTCCCTTCCCTGCTGATGACAGGCAGACTGTTGGGGATGAGCCTGCATCCCAAACGGAAGTGCAAAAGGATGCCAATGACCAGCTGGGTCTGCAAGGAAGAGCTGAAGAAGCTCCTTGAACGAGGCGCAAAACGTCTTCAAAAGCAAAAAAAAAAAACACAACCTCCTGAAAAAGCACCTTTGGTTCATCTCTAAAGGTTTTTAAGAAGAGACTGGACAGCCACTTGTCTAAAATTGTACAGGGTCTCCTGCTTGAGGCAGGGGGTTGGACTAGAAGACCTCCAAGGTCCCTTTCAACTGTTATTCTTTGCGCCCCAGTGCCCCAATCTGTAAGAAATCCTCCCTCTGTTCTTTCTCCCAGCAGAACACACGACTGGGAAGCTTCCTCTGAAGCTACCCAGACAAGAGGTTAAAAACAAAACAAAACCTTGATGTTAAAATCCTGTGCCAAATTCCTGCCCATCAAGTAACGAAACAAGACAAGCTGCACCAACCAAGTAGCTGAAAAAAAAAATAAATCTCCAGCTATTTGTAGTTCCAACTTCTGTGCGAGGCGATATGACGTCAAGGGAAGTGTTGTGGGCTGTTGGTCTTGGCAAGGGCATTCAATCCTTTGCTAAGGGTCTGCTGGTAGGGGAAGGGGTTGGACTAGAAGACCTCCAAGGGGATCATCACCAACCCTGTTATTCTACCTTCTAAATGTTCGCCCTTATCTGATAAACTTCTGGCTCCCGCTTGGACATTTACATCTGGGGAAGTGGAAGTAATTGATCCTGGAGTTCTGCTGGCTAAGATAATCTAGCATTTGATGCCGTGTTCTTGGGTGTGACCAATGTGCCAGCTATGACGGCCAAATGCCAGCCAACGCAGGCTTAATAAAACTGCTGAGCAGGAAACCCCCATCCATTTGTCCCCGGCGGAAACTCACAGGGTGCACAACTGACGCCCTAAGAACTTTATTCTGCAAAGAGCACAAGGCTGTGCCGTTTCGACCACTCGGAAGCAAAACCCCAATCTGTTGGTTCTACAGTAAGAATTTATTTATTAGAGTCCTTCCAACATTGTTCTGGAAGGAATCAAAATCACTACACAATTTTAATAGCCTGCTTCTTGAAGGAACAGAAGTGAATACGACATGAAAATCTTCAAAAGGAACCAAGGTTAAAAACAAAAAAAACAAGAACAGAACACAAAGAAGCAACTGGACCCTAAATAAAATTCTGCAGAGGCACTTCCCATCTTCGTATCACGTTAAGCTCTCTTCTTCCGTACCTTCTTTTCCTGTTTGCTCTGCTGGGCTCTTGATTATGAATTTCTGAAAAGATGCACAAAAAGGTTTCAAGTTGTTATGACCAATTATAAGAGGGTGAAGCGTTGATTGCCCCTCCCCGCTCTCCCAATGGCTAATCAGTTTTCCCGTTTTGAAAAATTCATGGGTTTTTCTTTTCCCTATCACTTTTCCAAGTGTGGCAACCAGATCTACACACAAAACTTCAGGGGCTCTAAGGAAGGAGAATATTGGTAGCTCAGGACTGACAGGAGAGGTCCTGGGGGCTCTGAGCTTGGTGGTTTACTTCCAGATGTTCCCTGTTCCAACTAGGACACATCATCAGTGCCAGGAGTGGCGTTTGCAGGGGGGGAAGAAGGAGGACGAGGACTGTGGGGTCCTTGGAGTTCTCTGAGCTTGGTGGTTTCCTTGCAGACATTTCATTACCCAACTAAGACACATCATCAGTGCCAGAAAGGAAGGGGGTTTGCAGAGGAGGAAGGATTGGGAGGTCCTTGGGGCTCTGAGCTTGGTGGTTAACTTCCAGATGTTTCATGACCCAACTAGGACAGATCATCAGTGCCGGAAGGGAGGGGGGTTTGCAGAGGAGGAGGAAGGACTGTGGGGTCCTTGGTGCTCTCTCTGAGCTTGGTGGTTTCTTTGTAGACGTTTCATGAGCCAAACTAGGTAACAACATCAGTGGCAGGAGGAGTGTGGTTTGCAGTTAATTTATATTCTTTTGTGGCTTGCCTGGTCAATGTTGGTGGGGGCGGTCTTAAGAGATTCTCTGGTTGGTCTGTTTGCTGTTGGCTTCTTGGGCAATTTCCTGATTGGGGTATTATTTACTCGATTGTTGGCCTGAGGTTAACCTGGGAGTTCATCTCTGCTGACCTGACTGCTGGTCCACATTAATGGTGGCCTTATTCTCAGTCCCTCCTGCAAGGATTCCCAGAACGGAGCCTGATTTTTCAAAAACACCACAGGGTCATCCTGCTCTGGCTGGAGAATTCTGGGAGTTGGAAGCCCGCAAGCCTTAAAGTTGCCAAGTTTGGGGACCCCTGCACTAGGGCATCAAAATCTTTTTCCTAGTAAGTGTACACAGCTTAGACCTCACCCACAGATGCCACGGACAGGCCTTCGTCTTTTCCAAAACGATTCACGTCCTGGAACCCCTGACCCAAACTGGGTCACTAGGGCTTGAGATTACCTAATTTGGCTGCTGAAGCCAAGCTCAGAGAGCACCAAGGACTGCTCATTGCAATTCTGAGCTGCCTTGCCCTCTGCCCACTTCGACGCTAGAGTGAGCTGGTTCTCCGATTAGTAAGGATTTGGGAAATGTTTTAAGAAGCGACCACTCGCAAGCTTCTGTTGACGTATAACATTTAATAGCTGCCAGTTGCTGTAAGGCTGATGCAATATAAGGCTGATGCAATTGAAGATGAATTAGCATTGGTATTGCCTTTTTAAAGATTAAGTAGGGGTCCACAGAAGTCTTACCATTTTAAGAGGTGTTTATATAAGACTGACATTACAGAGGGCGTGTTTTCTCTCCTTGTATCCTGTATCCATTGCGGAGTTCTCAGTGTAGAGTTAAGAAGATTGATTGCTTGTAAGGTATTTGCCTACCATGTATATTTCTGTATATGTCTTGTATATAAACCACTGTTAAATGTCTAAATCTCTCTGTGCTGTGTTTTGCTCCTGGGCTGACTCATAATAGTAGCCACGCTGCAAACACTTTGACAGCTTCTACAGTAGTTGTTAAAGAACCTGCAGTTCACCAGTTTAGAGAAGGCAGCAAGAAAGAAAAAGAGGAAACTTCTGGTTGAATACATGGATGGGATAGGGGAATTACAGGTAGACCTCGACTTACAACACTTCATTTAGTGACTGTTTGAAGTTACAATGACACTGAAAAAAGTGATTTAAAAGTGAAGCCAGATTTGCTTTACATCCCATGTTATTAACTTAGCAGCTTCAGTGATTTGCTTTACAAATGTGGCACGAAAAGTCGTAAAACGGGGCAGAATTCACTCAACACATTTCTCACTTAGCAACATAAATTTTGGGCTCACTTCATGGCCTTAATTCGAGGACTATCTGTAGTCAAGTTACTGGGATCCTTTGAACCTTCTCCTTGATCATCCCTATCACAAAGACCCCGGGAGAATCTTTCGTGCTGGGATCCCTGGAATGGGACCCACTGGGTTTTGGCCAGCGGCATTCTTCTCCAAGGCCACCACAGAAAAGACAGGATTTGTACTCGGTTGAAAACAGTGACCCTGCCCCCCCATTTCACCCGAGGGGGGAGGGCTCCTTGTCCAGATGGAAAAATGGTACCTCCATGTTCTGCTGGTGAAGCGGAGACTGGCAGTGGCTCTTCATAGATGCTTCGTCCACACAGAAGCAGGAGCAGATCTGACAAAAGTAGCCAGCTTTGGGGACAAGGAAATCGAAATCTAGAATGAAGACCACAAAACAAAAAAGTATATATTAACAAGGACCATTGCAGTTCATCCTTTCTTCTATCTGTCTGTCTGTCTGTCTATCTTTCTTTTCTTTCTTTCTTTGTCGCTTGTATCCTTACAATTTATATTGACTCTTTCCTAGTATGATTTGATTGCTTATTTGTACCCTATGACTATTATTAAGTGTTATACCTGATGATTCTTGACTCTTGATGAATGTATCTTTTCTTTTAGGTACACTGAGAGCATTTGAACCGACAAATTCCTTGTGTGTGCAACTACGCTTGGCCAATAAAGAATTCTATTCTATTCTGTTCTATTCTATCCTATCCTATCTCTCCCTAAGATAGAAAGATAGAGATAGAGATAGTTCTCTCTTTCTCCCTCTCTCTGATAGAGACAGAGAGTGATCATTATCTATCCATCCACTCCCCCATCCATCCATCCAAGTTTATTTGCTTCCCATTTCATCACAAGGCTATCTAAACAGAGCAACAGAGTCTTGATGCTTACTTCTTATCGCCTCCCTGATTTTTCTCCTTTTCAATTATCACTTCAATTATTTTCTGAACCAAGAAATACTGCACAGGGATACACAAAGCATCATTATCTTTCTCTTTTCGCTTCCTGGCCTCATAGCACACTAACTGCCTATGGTCTTTTTTGGGAAGGGGTGTGTGTGCACGCAGAAAACCAGCTCTTAACTGCTCAGACATCCGTACCCAGTTCAAAGTACAGCAAAGACAATCGAGCAGAGTTGAAGCCATTCTAGGCAAGCGACCTCCTCTGAACCCTGAAAGATTTTTCTTTTAGGATCTCCTGTCCCAAAGGCCTACCTTTTAGCTGGCTTGGAGTCTTCGACTTCTCTGAGGAATCTACTTTTCTCTGTTTATTTTCTGGTTCTTCACTTTTAGATTCCACGTGATCTACAACAACAACATTCGGATTAGCAAATGTGGTAACTGACCCCATCGTGCCACATATGTGGCTTGTAGCTGAAGAGTGGCTGCCCATCCTCCCGCCTGCCTGTAGAAGATGACCAGGCTGAGCCCGAAGGAGGGGTCAAGAGGGTCATCAGTCTGGAGTCCCTTCGTGACCATAAGAGACCCCACCTTGACTTCCACTGACCCTTATCTACCACCAGTTTGCCTTGACCGTTAGTATTTCAGATTCTTGTAGAATGTTATCATGTCATAAATAACCCCGTTTTCATTTGAACCGCCCTGGCTTCTGATTTCCTATGCTTGACACCGCCTTTTACTTGCTTCTCCAACCTTCAGATTTATTTATTTTGTTTATTTATTTAAAAAAAATTAGATGGCTGTCCACTCAGAAAAAAATAAAAGCCCCAAATGCAATAATTAACAAAAACAATAAACCCCCATATCCCAATCAAGGGACTATCAACTCAAGACAAATGAGTTAGCAGTAAAAACAAAACAAAAACAAAAAAACAGCCCAAGGAACCACCAAGGTTCACCCCTATCAGAATGACAGGGCAGCCGCTAGTATGTAAAATCAGAGCAAACCCAACAGCCATCAGTCAAACAAGCCACTTGATGGGCTCCCTCCCACTCCGGGTTCCCGTTGGCAGAACCTGGACTTTAGGGCTCTGCGAAAGAGGGCCCCAGTCTAATCCCTCCGGAGACGATGTTCCACAGGGAGGGAGTCACCAGGGAGAAGGCCCTTCTCCTTGGTCCCACTAGATGGACCTTCTTAAGACCTCCCCGCTCTGGTGGATTTGGGAGGGGGGGGGGATGTCACTGGGAAAAGAGGGTCCTTCAAATAACCTGGTCCCAGGCCATGTAGGGCTTTGATTGTGACAACAGGGCCTCGAATTGCACCTGGAGGCAAATTGGCAGCCATTGCAGCTCCTGCGGGAGAGGCAGGACCCACAGGGACCCCCGTGGACCTGCACAAAACCACGCGGGCTGCTGCACAGGCAAGTGGAACTCCCGGATACTTTTCAAGGACAGCCCCATGTAGACTGAGTTGCAAGAGATGCTACCCCGCTTGGGGAGATCATCCAGAGGAGACAGCGACGGCTGCAACCGCGAGGGTAGAGCCACGATGGGGACAGGCACGTGCCAAGGTGCTCCTCTCCCTGGTTTTCCTACCTCTGCAGGGCTTTTCACAGGGCTCTTTCGCAGCCTCAGTGTCCTTTCCCAAGACGGTATCAGGGCTCAGCTCAGGATTCTGGGCAGCTGGTTTGGAAGCTGCTGCCTGTGGTTCTCCAGCTGCCACGCCCTCTGTGGAAATCCCTGGGCTCGGGGATGGCGCCGCTCCAGCATCTCCCTTCCCCTCCTCCTCAGAAGTGGTGGCTGAGCTTCCTTCCACCTCCATTTCAGTGACTTCAGCCGCAGCAGCATCCTCTCCGGGCCTCACTCCGTCTGTCACGACGGAAATCTCATTAGATTTGGGTGTTATATTTAAAGTGTTTATACAGCCACCCGTCTTTCAACCAACTCTACGCAGCTCCCAACCCAAAACCGTATGAAATCTCTTTGGAAGAAGGTATCTGTAGCTTGGGGCTGAACTGAGGGGGTCCTTGGTGCAGGAGGAGTCCAGCAGAAACCCCAAGCCAAAGACCGGGTCGGTATGGGGCAGTGCCACTCCATCCATTTCTTCCTGCCAGGGTTCAGCCGAAGCCTGCTGTCCCTCATCCAGGCCCTCAAAGCCTCCAGGGCTTCACTGGATTTGTCCAGCTAAAATCTGGAATGGCCCAAACCTTTGTTTCCGCTGAACCGTGACAATTCCAAAATGGATTTGGCTGAAATTCAGGACATGACATTTTGTTTGTCTTCCTTTTTTCTGTTTTCAATCATGTGCAAATAAAGAGGATGCTTCGGAGCTTTCCAAGTGTTGGCTCTCTTTTAGTTTCTCTTAACTGAGGTATTACAGGTAATTCTCAGCTTAGGGCTGCAATTGAGGCCAAAATTTCTGTTGCTAAGCGAAACATCTCTTGAGTTTTGCCCCATTTTACGACCTTTCTTGCCAGAGTTGTTAAGTGAATCACAACAGTTAAGTTAGTCACATGGTTGTTAAGTGAATCGGGCTCCCCATTGACTTGGCTTGTCGGAAGGTCACTAAAGGGGATCAGGTCATACGAGTCAGTTGCTGAGGGTCTGGATTTTCATCACGTGACCACGGGAGATGCTGCAAGGGTCGTAAGTGTGAAGAACAATTATAGGTCACTTTTTTCAGTGCCATCGTAACTCCAAACAGTCACTAAATGAACTGTTGTAAGGACCACCTGTATACAATGGGAAGAGGCAGGATCTTCTATTTGAGCCATTAACCAATCCCAGTAAGGCACATCCCAGCTAGACAGCCTTTTTCATGGAGTCCAATTCCTACCCATCCACCCACCCCCCAAAAAGGGGGGGCGGCAATGTTCCTTTACAGTAGCAATAGCCCTTAGATTTATATACCACTTCACACTGCTTTAGAGCCCTTTCTAAGCGGTTTAGTCAGCCTCCTGCCCCCAACAATCTGGGTCATTTTACCGACCTCAGAAGGAGGGAAGGCTCAGTCAACCTTGAGCTGGTCAGGATCGAACTGCTAGCAGATGGCAGAATTAGCCTGCACTGCTGCATTCTAACCACTTTGCCACCATGGCTATCTATGTCTGTCTGTCTGCCTGCCTGCCTAACTAATCTATCTATAGCCACATTACTAATCTTATATACTGCTTCACAGTGCTTTACAGCCCCTCTCTAAGGGGTTTAGTCAACCTCTTGCCCCCAACAATCTGGGTCCTCATTTTACCCACCTTGGAAGGATGGAAGGCTGAGTCAACTGCTGGCTGTGGGTAGACAGCCTGCAATGCTGCATTCTAACCGCTGTGCCACCACGGTTCTAAATCTGTCCCTGACTACCTACCAATCTACCTGCCTACATATATACCTACATACTTAAATAATCTGTCTAATCTATCATCTCTCTATAGCAATAGCTGTTAGATTTATATGCCGCTTTACAGTGCTTCACAGCCCTCTCTAAGAGGTTTACAGAGTCAGCCTCTTGCCCCCAACAATCTGGGTCCTCATTTTACCCACCTTGGAAGGATGGAAGGCTGAGTCAACCTTGAGCCACTCAGAATTGAACTCCTGACACTGGGGCAGAGTTATTGCCTGCAATCCTGCATTCTAACCCCGTGCCACCAGGGCTCTTTTGCCCCCGGAAGGTCCTTCCCTCACCTGCACCCTTACCAAGCGATTGGTCGTCCTCCTGGGAATCGCTTCCCTTGCTGCAAGGCTGCTCCTTCTGGCTCGCATCTGGCTCTGTGGAGAGAAGGGGCACCTTTAGGTTTCCGGCCTGCTCCTCACCGAGCTTTCGCCGCTTCTTGGAGGGCCTCTCCACCCCGAAGGCCGATCTGCTTCTTACCTTTCTGCAGCGGCTGGCAACCCAAGTCGGACTCAGTTACTGTGTCTGTTTGCTCCACGTCTTTTCCTTCCTCCTTTTCTTTACACTCTAGCTCCGTCTTCTCCCTATCTAGGTCTACCTCCTCTCCTCCCACGGGGTTCTCATTTTCAGGACCCCCCGGCTGGGCTGAAGATGCTTCACCCTCCAGAGGTTCACCCCGAACGCTTTTCCTCCGTTCTGGCGGGGGGTTGACTGGAATTTTAAAGTTGTCTGGTTCCGCAGAAGACTGGATCTTCTCGTTGGCTTTTTCCCCCGGTGCTGTTTTGATCGCTCCTTCCGAATTTCGGCTGGTGGACGTGCCGGGTTTTTCTTCCTCCTCCTCTTCGCTGCCCACCTCGTCGACGGTGACAAAGCTAAACTCTTCCTTCAGGCGGTTGAAGTCTTCCAGGAAATCTTCGTCGTCTTCGGTCACTTCGTCTAACGTCATCAAGGGCTGCTCGTCGCTGTCTTCGTGAATCTCGTCCACCGTGACTAAAACGCTGGGATCCTCTGGGATCTGGGAAGAGAGAAAATCCCCGGCGTCTTCAACCCCTCCTTTCTCATCTTCCTTGCCTCGGAGCATCTCCTCCTCCTTGAAATGGGAGAGCTGGTTCAAGGGAAGCTCTTCCACCTCTCCGATCTCATCCACCGTCACTAAGCGCTCCGTTTTCAGATCCGGCTCGCTCTCCCCTGGAGTAAAAGGTCCCTTGGCCGTCGCCTGGAGAGTGACGTCCTCTTGCTCGGAGATCTCGTCCAAAGTGACCAGCGACTGTGGATCTTTCATATCTTCGTTGATCAGTTCTTCCTCTTCGTTGACTTCATCGACCGTGACCAGTCCCTGGGCGTCATCGGTCATGGCTTCCAAGCTCAGAAGGTCCGCTTGGCCCATCCCACCCTCGTCTTCCCCAATTTCATCCAAGGTCACGAAGGAGACCTCGCTCTCGGCTGTGGGGCCGTCCTGCCCCTTGCCTTTCTTCTTCTTGGAGGTTGGTTCGCAGGGAAGGTTTTTCTTTGGGGGGTCCTTCCTTTTGCCCCTTACAGGGTTCTTCCTAGGCTGAGGGGCCTCCACTTCATCAACAACTTCATCCATGGTCACAAACTCATCCAAATTAAATGGAAAAAGCTCCTCATCCTAGAAAAAGGGAGAAAGAAAAAACAACAACAACCCCCCCCTGGTTTTACACCAATCGATTTGTAAATGACGTAAAGGCACACGCGTCATTGTGGCAGGTATCAGAAAAAAAAAAAAGAAAGCATGCAGGCAACACAAGAGTCAGAGTATGCTTTAGAACAGGAGCGGGCGAGTATCAGGACTTTACAACCTGTGGACTTCAACTCCCATAATTCCACAGGGTATAGAGTTGCCATAGCTGCCCATCCTTGCTTTAGAGGGCAATCTGGAATGAAGGGGATCTTTCATAGGTTCAAAGAAGCAGAAAAGCAGCTGGCTTGCCTTTTTGGAGTCAATTTCTGTATCTATGTACCTATGTACCTACCTATCTATATACACACATACACACACACACACACGCCTAAGTCACTTCCATCAACTGCAACAATTCACTTTTCAGCAAAAAATATTTTCCCTAGAAAGTATCACTTCACTTCCCTAGTGAAGTTAACAGGAAGAAGGCTCATTAAAGTATTAGGACTGGGTAAAACTTTGGATTCAGTTTGGGGAAAAGTTTAGGCACAAAGTCAGTAACTCCTTAAAAAATGACGGCTAAGAGTCGAAGTCCACCAGTCTTAAAGATGTCAAGTTGGGAGTCCCCCAGCCTAAAGTCTTCCCCGTGTACCATTCTCCTGGGTTATAGGAACCCTGTTAATTGGCTGGCTTACCTCTTTGGCTTTAGGGCTGCTTTTAGAACTTCTGGTATTCCTCTCAGCAGACACCTGGGGAGGAGAAAGTGGGAAGATGGTGAGCAAGGAAAACAGCGGCCTCGTAAGCACAATTAATCCTCAAAGAAATGGCATTCTTAACACGCTACAAGTTGAGACTGTGCCAATTGTTTTTAAGACCTGAGTATTCAGCGCACCAGTGATTTTTATGGGTAACTTATCTGACTTCAGGATCGAGTCTACGCAAAAGCAGCCGGGATGCCGTACGAGAAGCCGCACCTCACAACGGGAGAATCTCAGGAGCCGCCAATGGAAAGAACGAACACTGTGTGTCCGTTTGGAAATTTGCATCGCGAAGAGCCGGCTCTTTCCTCCCTTCCGCCAAACGCATCCAGGTTAAGCCGCTTCCAGACGCACCTCCCAACCGATGCTGCGTGGCACCGAACCGGTTTGGTAGCGCCGAGTGCAGCAGCCGCGTACAGGGAGGGGACGGGGACTCACTCAAGGACTGGAAGAAGCCTCAAGGTTAGGGACCAAGCCAGTGCTTTAATCCCCTCCTCACCTTATTGCCGCCGGTATCCCGCTTGAGGTTGGAAGGTCTACTGTCTTGCTCTCGGCTCTGCTTTGGACTCCCCTTGGTCTCCGCCGGGGGGTCCTTGTCTTGCTGCGAGGAGCTCTTCCCACCGCCTAACACAACTACCGCCAGCGAACTCATGTTTAGCTTAGACTTGGCGCTATCTGGGATGTTGGACCGGCCGTTTGCAGGCCTTTGCTGACTCGTCGGTTTTGGCACCGGTGTCTTCGCAGCCACTCCTTGGCTCTTGCTGACTGGCTTCTTCTCTTTCCTTCGAGCTGAAGCTCTCGTCTTGGGTGGGTTCAAAGCCTTCGGGACAGGAGCGACCTGTGCACTGGCTGCAGTCTCTGCCTCCAGCGTGCTCGCTTTGCAGGATTCCCCGGCTTCGGCTTGTCCCAGCCCTTTACCCTGTAGTGTCTTCGGCACAATTTCCTCGGGGTTCTGTACCTTGGCGTTCTTTTCTGGGGTCCCTTCCAGTTTGACTTCTTTGGTGCTTGAGACCAAGTCTTTTGGGAGCTTCTCCAGAATCACCTCAACCCTGGCCATCTGCAGACGAGACTTTTCCTTGACGCTTGCCTTCGTTTCCACCGCTGCTGGCTTGGCTGCTACCTCCGCACTCGCTTGAGAGGTGGCAGAGGGGCCCTCCAAGTCTTCCTCCATTTTCACCTGAACCCTGGGAGCCGGTGTCTCTGCTAAGCCTACGGTGGTTTCAGCATTATCTGCTTCCAGGGAGGCCAACCTGTTACCGGACAGAGTGTCAGTACTTGGCATTTCCTGCAGGGCAGCTTCTGTAGAGCCCGGCCCTAAGCCTGCCCTTTTCTCTTCTTCCGTGGCTGAGGCCGAGAGGGTTTCTTCTTTTGAGGCACCGTGAAATTCTTCTTTCCCGGGAGCTTTTTCTTCCTTTGCCTTCTCTCCGTCAGGCGGAGAGGCCTTTCTCGGCAATTCCTGGCCAGAATGATCAGTCTTTTTTTCTTCCTTTTTCAGAGCGGAGGACAAAGCGGAGGCTCCTTTGGGTTTCGTGTCTGAAGACTCGAAATCCTGGCCTGCGCTTGGCGCTCCAAGCCCAAAGTCTTTTTTTAACGCTTCCGAGTCTTCTCCCAAGTCTTCGGTCTTCAGGGGCTGCGAAGCTGCTTCCCCTACCATCTTCTCGCTACCCAAGTGCTCAGTCTCTGTGTCTGGAATAGCATCCGAATTGGAAGCGTGGTCTTCCGTGGCCTCCGTGGGAGGAACAGCAGATGGGGCCACCACTCCTGATCCTTCGGGAATTGTTTTCAAGTCAGGGCTAAATGTATTTAAAAAAACAGAACAAATCAAGCTATGTTGAGAACGCCACAGTTATCAATTACCTCTTGATGCCAATGGCTGGGATCTCCTGAAGCAGTAATGGCTTAGGATGGGGAGATCTAACTTATTCTACTAACCTCGGTTTAAGCGTGTGTGAACGCTTCTAACTTGGCTATCCTTATGGCAGGCAACCCTAAAGGAGTCCTTCGAAGCTCACTACACAGATGCCCTGTTGACCCCGGAGCTGAGAAGATTAGAACTTAAGGCAGGGGAAAGGAAAAAAAAAACCATACAACTACAGAGAACTTGTGCTTGGGTTGTGAATGAGTTATTTCAACTGAGAACAGAAATGTTAATAGTTTGTCCAGAGGCTGCCTGCAGGCTGCCTGTCCCTAAGCAGCCAAAATGAGTGAGGACACTTCCAAGGGGAACGGAAATATCCACATGCAAAAGGTTAACCTCGAGGGGATCCCAAGTGCCTAACAGCTCCCAAGGAAAACTGAATTATAAGACAAATGTATGGGATACTACTACAGAGGAACATTTTCAAAAATATAAGCAGTTTCAACAGCCTTGGCTGAGAGTCTGTTTTGTTTATTCGCTTTCCAACTATTTTCCTTTTCTCTGAAAATCTCCACGGAGATCTTCCATTCCTCCATCCCCCCCTTTGGGACAATCCTCTGCCATTATCTTATCGTTCCAAGGAGAGTGTAGATTATTTAGAAAAGGGGGCTGGAGTCTCAATATCACTACAATAGATGACAAGACCTCGAAATTGGATCATGGACAGGAATTGTCATTTGTAGGGTCGGCACAAGAAACACAAACCACACAGAATAGCAGACAGCTGTGCAAAAAAAAGAAAAAAAGAAACCACCACCCCCCAAACCCTCAGTTGTCCTCAGAATCGGTAAGAGAAGCAGGCATGAACTGATTGCAAACTTCATAGGACTTTTGTCATCACGGGAAAGGTTCTTGTGATCTTCTGCAAAAAATGGTAAGAGGGCAGAACCCTGCAAAACAGGGCCAATTTTAGAAGATCAACGTTTGGTCACTAACACAGACTGCAAAACTCTGCCCTTTCAAAAGAGGTCTGGCTTTTCCAGCAGCCAGCAAAGAAGATGGAGTAAAGAGGAGAAGTCAGGCTGTCTTGGTTCTGGATGAGATTCCAAAGTCGAATCAAAAATCTCTTCGGCCTTTGGAGCTGTGATCCTTCATTCAACGCTACCAATATTATAGGCATATTGTTCAATCCTGAGAGATTCCCTTCCCAAACTAGTATCTTACATAATATAGTTGGAAAGGGACTGCAAAATACGAATTGATAAATAGCACTCCTGCAAAAGCAGGTTTCTAAACCAAAGATTTCCAAGGATGAGTGTAAAATCCCTCTCCGCCCCCTTGTTTTTTTTTATTTTTTGCTTTTCACCAATAAAGCAAATTACGCTGAATTTCTTTTCTGCTGGGAAAGGGCTGAAGAAGCTGTTCGAGGCCATTCAATCTCCTTAACCAAGGAGGGTTATTATTCATAAGCCACCTACCGAGAATATTTCAAATGGCTTTCAAGGAATGTAGGGATTGGACATAGTTCGCTTGGGAGCAGAAGAATGCTATTTTAAGTCAAGAAAAAAACAACTTGGTGGTTTGGATGCCTCACAAATCCAAAATCATTTGATAAAGCAAAGTATAACAAAACTAAGATGCATAAGCAATAAAGGAAATATGTTGAAGAGATATGGAAAAATCGGGAAATAAAAATAAAAGTTGCAGGAAGTTCCTCTTGATTTCAGGGAGCGTTAAAGAGTTTATTCCGCAGTCGTGTTCTGACACTAAGGCAGCCCCCCTCTTCTTTGGACTATTGAGGAACTGAATGAAAAGGACAATCCAGAGAGCAATGAAAGGCCAAGCTGTTCAGAAGTCAAAGGGCAGCATCCAACTGAACAGAATAAGAGGGTTGGAAGGGACCTTGAGGTCTTCTAGTCCAACCCCACCCTTGCTCAAGCAGGAGACCCTCTACCATTTCAGACAAGTGGCTGTCCCAGTCTCTTCTTAAAAGCCTCCAGTTCTTCTTCTCCACTTTGCATTCGGTTATTTTGTTCTGCTTTCTTTTTGGGATGGGGGGGGGCTGAGGGAAGGAAATTTGCTGGAAAAATGTCAAGAGAGAGATGGGGCAGAAAAAAATATTCAGGACAGCTGCCCTCATCAAGAAGAGAACCTGCTCACATTTGCATCACCCATTGTAATTGCTGGTAAATGCTGGAAAGCTTTCATCAAGCATGCCTGATTGACTGCAAAGCCATAAATATGGTTCTCCGAGGTTTCCCAAAACACTATTGATAAGAACAAGGCAAAAAAAAAAATATTAAGCTTTCTTTCTGCTTTCCATAGCTTCAAAGAGTTTCTTGCTTTCATCTCTCATCAGTGTCAGAAGCACCATTTACAACAGGGTGCCCAACCTCAGCAACTTAGCAAAGCTGGCTGGGGAATTCTGGCAGTTGAAGTCCACAGGTCTTCAAGTTGCCAAGGTTGGACACCCCTGCTTTGTAAGCGAACACGAAGGTTCTTCCATTTTAAATTGAAATGCCTGTAAAAAAAAGTTTAGAAAGTAACAGCTTTGAGTACCTAATAGCCGTACTGTTTCCTCCCTTTGACCAAACAGGCAGGAAAAGACAATAAAACATGAAGCTGTTTATGAAGAGCCACCATGGATGTAGCTGCCCCCCGGTTTAACCCAGAAATTCAAACATTTTTTGATGGGAAATACCAAGACCCAACTTTTACAGAAAAAGAGACCACAGTGCTCTCCATAGGCAACGTGCAGTGACCATCAACAACTCAAGAGGCTGGATGTGCAGAAGTACTCTAAAAACAGTATTTTATTAGTTGTAGTAAAATAAAATACACAGAACCTGCTCCAAGTCTACATCATTATATAGTTAGCGAACACTACAGATATCGTTTCAAAGGTTCTGGTTGCCTGAAGTACATTTATTTTAAATGTGTATCTACAATGTATAGAGATAGGCAAATTATATTTATGTATCTAGAGTAAGCTAGGGAAGAGATGGGTTTGGGGTTACAAAAGACATTTTGAAAGGAAAATGCCCCTTTATTGTGCATTAAAATATCTTTGTCCCCTTACTGGTCTATTTATAAATATATAAATGAAGTCCCAATGCGACTATTTGAACTTTGTGTTACCTCTCCATGGTTTGTAGTGTTTCAACCTCTGAATGCAATTTAGCTGAATTCAAATGGCTTGATAAAGTCACATATCCCAGGTCCCAAGTCAACCAACTTAAAAAAACAAATCACGTTAGCGGAAGGTGTGACAGGGCACTAGGATTTAAAAAGCACCGGCATTCAAAAAATGTAGGTCGGATACCCACAACAACAGGTGATGGTGTCACTTCTCAGGCTCACCTGTGTCCCAGGAAAAAAGACAACTGAGACGGACACATAGAACTACTTGCATGCATTGAAAAACCCATTTATTCTTTCAACCGCTGTAGATTCATGCCAGGTCCAGAATGAGGCAATGGAATAAGGGAAGTGCAGGGGATCGCTTCTAAAAAGCCAGAATTCAAGGCTTAGCACAAAAAGGAAAATAAATGAGACTTCTGTTTGTTTTATTCAATCATAATTTAAATCTCTCCCATCCCATCCCCACACCTACCCATCCCCCCCACACACACACAAATACACGCACACTTTGGATATCAATGAAAAAATACCTCTCTTGGCCTGCTTCTTGCTTTTTCGTTTCTTTTTTTACAGCATCAGCCTGTTAAAAAAAAATTCAGCTTTTTGATATGCAAGGAACAGTATAACAACGCGACTGCCTAAATGGAAAAAGCTGGAAAACCACTGTACATTGGTTAACGAATCCGGGTTATAAATTCTGCAAGCTACATTCCATTCTACCCTCACTTGCAACCCTGCCCAGACGGCAAATTTCCAGCCAGCTGTTCCTCAACCATCCTTCACGTGGCAACAAGAACAAAACACCTAACACCTATACACCAACACGTTGACGTTAAAAATTACAAACTTTCTCTGTATTCGGAGTCATCCTGAATTGGTACGGCTGCAAACTAATCCGAGATAAAGAGGCCAAAATAGATGAAGATGACTTACAGCTGTAGGTTCTATTCTGGGCGAGCGTGAGACGGTCAATTCCACTTCTCCCAAACTGTAAGGATACTTTTTTAAGAAGCGACACATGGACGCCGCGGACTCGGCACTGTTCAGCTGGAAAATGGCCTTCAAAAATTCAAAGGGGCAGAAAATCAACACAGAAGGACCTGAACTTGTAGCAAAGGCTGCATTTCTCCCAAGGGAATCTTGAAGGGGGCGACAGCCTTCCCCATCAGCCCCTGGAAAGGAAGGCTTTGCGTGGGCCTGATACGGCTCTTATAAAGACCAGAGCAGTTTTTCCAACATTTTTAAAAAAAAATTAAATACACCCTGACGAGGAGCATTCCTTGAAGCCGAGGGAGTTAGTCCTCGACTTACAACCATTCATTTAGTGACCGTTGGAAGTCGTAACAACACTGAAAAAAGTGGCTTATGACCCCCTTTTCACACTTACGATAATTGTTAGCATCCTCGGGGGTCAGGTGATCAAAATGTGGACGCTTGTATTTATGGTGGTGACAGTGTCCGGGGGGGGGGGGGGGGGGGGGGGGTCGTGTGATCTCCTTTTGAAAAGCAAAGTCCACAGGAGAAGCCAGATTCACTTCCCAACCGTGGGGCTAACTTAACAACTGCAGTGATTTGCTTTACAACCGTGGCAAGAAAGGTCGTAAAATGGGGCAAACCTCACTTAACAACTTGTCTTGCTTAGCAGCCGTGGAAATTGTGGGCTTAATTCAGATTGTTAGGCTACTGTGTAAGGGCGAGCTCCGCGATTGCCAGGCACAAAAGAGCTGGCCGGTGCATATTTGTTGCTAAGAGCCCTTGTACACTGGAAATCTTCTCAACTCATGGTTGGTGCCTGCTTGGAGTCAGATACGTGTCAATGGAATTGGAGGGGGTGGGGGTTGGACTTAAGACTGCTTATGGCTACGTAGGATTCTAGGCTGACTCCCCTCTTCACTCCGCCTCTCGCGGGTTCTGCCACCCTTTCTCCTACAGATAGATATTGGGCTCTGCCTTATAGAAAGGAAGGGTCACCTTGTTCTTGTTGGTTATCACCATGTAATGATCCACTCGTCCAAAGCGAAGGCCAACGCAAAGGATTTCAAGCTCGGAGTAGCCCTCATCTGGCAGGTTGCCCAGATGCACAAACTGGGTGTACAGCGTCTCCGTGTTCACCTGGTGCAAAGGAAAGGCAAGCACACGGAGTGGGCAGGGGGTCCTTAAGGCGACTCGACTGATCTTTTCAAAGGCTCCATCCTCAGAATATAATCAACAGCCCAACTCTTTCCCACCTCCCTTGGTAGCACATGGCTCAACGGGAATGTGCTGCGTCTCTCTTTTCCGTGACTAAAGACGTTATTGGCGATCATCACAAAGTTATTTTTGGAAGTCGTAACGAGACAGAAGACTCTCTACACTACACTGCCCACCATAAATTGGTATGCTAGATTTCCTACTGCCTGCATTCTCAAAATGCAATATTCTTGGACAATTACATTCTTAATCGATACTTTCCAAACACATGATGTCAACTCATAAAATGTTTCTACGGTCTTTTTAGAGATGCCAACAGAAAGGGAGGAGGGAAAGGGGTTTGAAAGAGCAGTGCGGCAGCTTGGAAAGCGAAAGTGCATTCCATAAATAGTTTTCAAAGATAGTAACTAGGTGACTGAAGTTTCTGGTGCGCAAAATTCTAACTGGAGAACATGACTGATGACTCTTGGCTATGGATGTGTCCCACTGAATATGAATTATGATACACCCAGGGGTTGGGGAAAAACCAGGGTCAAGGGTGACAATGAATGATATGTCTCAGAGACGGCTACACCCAGGCAGTGCCAGACATGTTAACTCCCAATAAATCCTTTGGAAGTTTAGCTCGAGACTCAGGATTTAATTGGTGGTAACTGCACTCTTCACAGGAGATGGACTATTTCATAGTCATCCCCCGCCCCCCAAAAAAGAATCTGTTGTGCTATTTTTGTAACCCCTTTCTCCACCCCAAGGGCCCAGGCTGAGTATCAACAGTGTATTAAGGAACACCTTGTTACTTACGCTTGAATTTGCATCTTTAATCATCGCAGTAAATATAACTTCCTAAAAAAGAAAGGGTCAAGAAAATTTAGGCAATTAGAAGACGGCGTTTATCAATTTACAAACTCTCACTTAATCGCCCATCTTCTGCTGGAAATCTCCTTAATTTGTCAACTTCCGGGTCCAATTCAGAGTGCTGGCTGTCACCTTCAATGCCCTACCTGACCTGGGACTAGGTTCTTTAAAGCAGGGGGTCTCCAACCTTGCCAACTTTAAGACCTGTGGACTTCAACTCCCAGAATTCCTCAGCCAGCTTTGAAGTCCACGGGTCTTAAGAGTTTCCAAGGTTGGAGACCCCTGCTTTGAAGGACCCTCTTTTTTCAGTGACATCCACCTGGCCCACCAGAGTGGGGAGGCAGGAGACGTCACAAGTCCTCTCTCTTAAGCAGGTCCATCTGCTGGGACCAAGAAGAAGGGCCTTCTCCGTGGTGGCCCCTCCCTGTTATTTGAAGGACCCTCTTTTCCCAGTGACATCCACCAGACCCTCCCGAACAGGAAGGCAGGAGATGCTACCAGTCCCCTTCTCTTAAGAAAGCTCATCTGCTGAGACCAAGAAGAAGGGCCTTCCCTGTGGTGGCTCCTGCCTTGTAGAACATCATCCCTGCAGAGGTAAAGTTGGCTCCTACTTCGACACTTTTCTCTAAGACCCTGAAGATGCGGTTCTGCCAAAGGGCTTGGGGACCCCAGGCTGATACAGAGCCCAACAAGTGGCTCATTTAATTGTTGTCATCAGAGAGGTGTGGGAGAGTTTTTTTTTTTAATTGATCTTCTATTGGGCTTTCCTGTAAGTTGCCCAAAGTTACTGAGAGTGAGTTAGTTGGCCGTATAAATTTTCTTAGATACCCTTTTCCATACTTTCCCTTCTAACTCACCTTCCCATTTTCCTGGGACATATGCTACTCCCCAAGAGTACCACAATATACAACTGTTGAAAGCTGCCCTGAAGCCTTAGTGGACGCTTAGGAGCTACCAAACAATTCTGTCGTCTTCAGTTGTTGCAATTCACTAAATCTAACTAGATATTTAGGAATAATGATGGAGTTTGGTAACAAAGAACCTTCTAGTTCCGTCTTCCCCAACCTAGTATTCAAATGATATAAATCATTAGCCACTTTTTGTTTAATTTATTCTTCAACAACCTTTTAAGAACAGTCGCCTTGTGGCAAGAGGGCTGGCAAATAAATTTAATAAATAAAATTTACTGACCTCATTTAGCTCTTTCAGCTCAGGGACCAGAGAAATGCAGAGCTGGTTCCTTTCCACCCACATTGGGAAGCAGGTATAAAATTTCACCATGGAATCAGCAGATTTACGACTTATTTCGACATATGCCTTTAAAAAAAAACCTTTTATCAATGACCTGAAACCAAATGACTTCTTTGTTCCAACTGTTGGCACTGGGTGGAAAAATTAATCATTTTCAAACATTAATTAATAAAGAAAGAATGAATGAACAAATATATATATATTTTTCCTCTTCTAACCCCTGTACAGATTGTTCAATACCTTCTTATGTGAAGACACAATTAAAATGTCTTTAACTTTCCCAAAGGGCTTGGTTAAGTTTCGGATCTCCTCCAGACTGAGCCCGGTCTCAGGGAAACTGGAAATCATCACGACACACATCTCTTCAGGATCCTGGAAAAATAGAAATGGAAAATCAGAATCTTTACTGGGAAAGCTGAATATTCTCCTGCCCTTTCCTCCTTCCCACATTCAGGACCCACGAGGAACCCCTTGGTCTGTCCTTGGAAACTTCTCTGTTGTCTTGAGCAGCGAGATGGGAGACCAATAAGTCTGACAATTAAGTTTTTAAAAGGCCAGCCTTCCTTCTCCTGCTCTTTTTGGCCCAGCAGGGAGAGTGTTGAGGCTTCTCTCTCCTGGAAAAGGGAAAACCTGGCATGGAGGCAAGTAGAATAAATCCCCTCCACCAGCCTTTCTCGCTTCAAGAATTCAACCTCAAAATCTGAATCAGAAATTCAGAAAATAATCCTATGCAATATTTCCTCTTCTGGAATGAGACAACATTTAAAAAAGAACTTGCAGCAGTATGAGAAGTTCTTAATGAGGAATATACAATGATTCGTTTAGTGACCGTTCAAAGTTGCAACAGAAACAGAAATGAGGGACTTATGACTAGTTTGTATATTTACGACTGATGCGGCGCATCCCCCATGGTGTGTTGCCCGGATTCAGAGGGAGGCCAAACAGCAGAGAGGGAGTGGGAGTGTTGCTGTGGGAGAAACTGGGGAAGGGCAAAGTCCATCTGGGCAGAGCAGGAGAGAGGTAGAACAAGGGAGAGGGAATTCAGAGGAAGACCCAGGCCCACCCCTCTTCATCCTAGGGCATGCAGGGAGGAACGGAGAAGGGAGCAACGTGAGTTGTGTAGCTTATAAGGGAGGAAAGGGCCCCGATTCCCTTCATTAGCTGGAGCTGGGGACAGAGTGTTTAAAAAGGGAAGCTGCACACAGCAAGTTGTTGGGAGCAAACTGTGAATTTATCTGGTCTCCTCATGGCTTATCTGTATTCCTGGCGTCTTTCCAACTGTGTGAGTTTTGCCATGCTTTCAAGTCTGAAATTCCTTCTCCTGCCCTGTCAAGTTAATTACTGCAGCTTGGTTTGTTTGGATTTTTAGTTCCAGTCTGTATGTATCTTGTTTTGGACCGGATTTTCTCTAGCTAAAGGCTGTTCCTGGGAGTTTTTCCTCCAGCCGAAGATAACCTGGACATTGGGGGCAAAGTTGGAGATTATAAAGGGACTCTTCTTGCTTATGTGACTGTGCTGCCTTTGTGCCACACCTCGGGTCATCACACACTCACGTGATCAAAATTCAGCTGCTCGGCAACTGACTCATATTTATGATGGTTGCACTGTCCTGGGGTCACATGATCGACAAGCAAAGTCAATGAGGAAGGCAGATTCACTTAACAACCATTATTACACTAAGTTAACCACTGCAGTCATTCACTTAACAACTATGGCAAGAAAGGTCATAAAACAAGGCAAAGCTCACTGAACAAACGTTTAACTTAGCAAACATAAACATTGGGCTCAATTGTGGTTGTTAAGTCAAGGACTACCTGTACAGGAACTGTTCGAAAAACACTTCAAACAACACAATTGTAGAGTTAAGTTATAAATGATGCAAGTTAGGCCCACTCAAGGTCTCCTAGGACAGTGGTCGCCAACCAGTGAGCTGGGGACTACTGGTAGTTCGTGAAAAAAATCTGGTAGTCCGCAGGGAAATGTCACCCGCAAAGCAATTAATCCAGGCTGCGCGGGAACACAAGATTGTGCCACCCACATGGCCCGCGGGAACACAAGGCTTGCATCACTTACATTGAGAACAACACAAGGTAGTGAGGGGAGGGGGGAAAGGGCGGAGGGGGGGAACTTGCCCCACTCGCCTTCTATTTTTGGCTGCACGCAAAGAAAGCAGCAAAAGTCTTACTTTCTCTCCCCCAAACTCCGCCAGAAATGAGTCTTTTTTGACTCTGCAAGGCCTCCTGCTCCAAGAGGCTGAGCCGGCACGGCAAGTCTCACCAAGACTCATTTCTGGAGGAGTTTGGAGGAGAGAAAGAAAGACTTCTGCTGCTTTCCTTGCATGAAGCCAAAAGTCTCTCTCTCTCTCTCCCCCTGAGAACGGAGTTGGAGACGGTGTCCTACGAATCCCAAATAATGATCGATCGGTAGGAAAACAGGGTGGGGAATTTTCCGACATACTTTTTGAGGGATTTTCCCAGGGTTTCTGCTGCTTTCTGCAGAGACCCTGGGAAAACGTCAGCAAGCCACTATCAGTCAAAATTCGTATTAGTGGTCCGCGGGATTTAAAATTATGAGTTTGGGGGTTCCTGAGGTCTAAAAGGTTGGCGACCCCGTCCTAGGACATTTGAGATTTTCTCTGCTTCTTTCCACTGATTACCACGAAAAGACATTCCTGCCTCTCCTCTTTGGGGAAGGGAAAGTTGGGACCCAGTTATCTCCTAAGGATGGCCACCATTTACTGAACTGGGATAAAATATGAGGGGTGTTTTAGGAGTCAGTGTTAAGGACAGCTAGGATGACAAGCCAGCTGGTAATGAGAAAGGAACAACAGAAGAAGAAAGGCTCAGTTTAGTTTATGGTACAGGTAGTCATGACTTGACCTGGGACTGGAATTATGGTCATAAATCACTGTGGTCGTTGAGCGGGTCCACTACGTGACTGCAACCTATTTTACAATCGTCAAACAAACACCATGACCAGTAAGCAAACTTTATTATACTCAGTGGGGTTTTACTGGCTGGAAACCAGAAGTAAACACCCCCCCACCTCCAACAAAAATCAATCATGGTCACGTGACTGCTGCAAACAGCTGTAAATGTGGGTCAACTGCCCAGCTCCCAAAATGACATCACATGGCCATGAATAGGTTGGCCGCAAGGAAGGAATATCAGGTCTCCTGGCTTTGGTGGGGCTTTCTCACTGCTTTGAAGGAGGAGGTGGTGGTTACCTTGCCGGAAGATTCAATTGCTTCAGGACTCTCAACAGCTTCTGACTTATCTGCAAATTTAAAAAAATTAAACAATTCTTACTGGTTGAAGAGAGAGAGCTATCAAGAATCCGGGTTCCTTCGGGGTAGGAAGGAACCCATTCTAAAATTCTGTTCATTCCGTAGCTGTGATTCCCAACCATAACAACTGGAAGGGGTGTGAACTTCAACTCCCAGAATTCCCCCAGCTTGAATTCTGGGAGTTGGAAGTCCACGTATCTTAAGAAGTGTCGAGAGACACAATTCTACAGACTAGTGCTTGTTACCCTTCACACCCTTTTAAGATGCGTGGACTTCAACTCGCAGAACTGCTGGCTAGGAAAGTCTGGGAGTGGAAGTCCACAAATCTTCCAGTTGCCAACGCAGAAAACCAGAGTTACAGGTGTTCCTCCTACCCCTCTCTCCCACTGAAAAGTATTTACATGCCCACACACCCCGCTACCCCCCCACCCACCGTGCCTGAGGGGTGGTGTCCCAAACCTCGTGCTGTCAGTCCAAAGCTCAACCCAAGAGAACCTCCAAGCCAGCTGCCCTCTGCCAGCTGCATCTCTTCTCGCGGGGAGACAGGCAAACAACCATGTTTTCACCCACTGCTGCCCACCCTGTCCCTCCCACCAACCAAAGGAAACTCAAAAGGTAGGGTGTCCCAGCCATGCTTGGGGGGAGGGAGGGAGGGGGGCTAGAGAGACAACGCTCTCTGCCAGGAGGGGGGGGGGCAGAGGGAGCGGCTCTGAAACTCTGGGAGGACCAGCCTCAGAAAGCCCACCGTTGAGGAAAGGATACCTGGGGCGTCTGCTGCTTTGCTGGCTTCCTTGCCCTGAGATTCTCCAGCTTGGCTGGGCTCCCCGGCATTCTGCTCCTTGGGAGGCTCCTTGGATTCGGCTACTTTCTTGGCCTTGAGGGGTTCTTTGGCGTCAGACTCCCCCACTTTCTTGGGTTCTGCAGCCTTCTTGACCTTGGGCTCCCCAGCTTTCTTGTTTTCTATGACCTTCTTGGCCTTCAGAGGTTCTTTGGGCTTGGCATCTATGACCTTCTTGGCCTTCAGAGGCTCTTTTGCTTTGCATTCCAACGGCTTCTTGCCCTTCAACGCTTCTTTGTCCTTGGGATCTCCAACCTTCTTGGTCTTCGGGGGCTCTTTGGCCTTGGAGTCCACCGGTTTGTGGGGGTCGGCAGGTTTTTTCACCTTGGGAGGATTTTTCCCCTCTTCCAAGGGTGCGGGGTTGGCCGCATTGTTCTCTTTTACAGGGCCCGGTTTCTTGCCATCTGTCGGTTTCTTGGGTTTGGGGGCTACCTTGGTCTCCCCACTTTTGACAACTTTTCCAGGTTTCTTGATGTCGGTTTTAGCTGTGGACAGATAAAGCACTGGTTGGTATGGTTACAGAGATTCTTGGAGTAATGAAACTAAGTCGGCCCGTTTTTCATACTTATCAACTTTAGTTTTTTTAAAAAAAACCTTGACTGAAGTCCATGCATTTTAAAGTTGCCGTGTTTGAAAAAAGCTTGCATTCAAAATCTATTGATGGATGCACGGTCTACCAAGATTAAAATGTCCACCATAAAAATCTAATATGCTGCTCAGAGGGAGATGCAACTTGGAGCTGAGGAGGGATTTCCTGACAGTGAGAACAATTAATCAACGAAGCAGGTTGCCTCCTGGAATTGTGGGTTCTCCACTGCTGAAGGTTTTCAAGAAGAGACCGGACAACTATTTGTCTAAGATGGGTATAAGGTCTCCTACGTTGGAGAAGACCTCCAAGGTCCCTTCCAGCCCCATTAATCTATGATTTTCTTCAGGACAATCCCTTCTTGCCGTTAACAAAATAATCAAACATCTGCAAAATGAGCCACTTCTGCAACTTTGCAATAGTGGCGGATATCTGTAGCTCGGGTGGAGGAGGAAGGTGGAGGTTATGAAGCCCATATAAGCAGAAGAACACCAACCCTGAACATTCCCTAAACTCCACTGAAGATGTTACTTAGCCTGGTAGCGAGACTTTCGGAAACCAACCCACAAGCTCGGAGAATGAACCTCCACCCTCACTTCTGCAAATGTTGGCCACTCTGTATTTATCCAAAAAGCCTTATCCTCTAGTACTAATTGTGTAAGTCACCACTCTGCAGGATCGGCCTCCCCAAGAACATCTCCTATCAATCTCTATGCAGCCCCCTTTGGTTTCAGCCCACTTCCAAGCAGCCCTGAGTCACCAGACTGCTTGGTTTGGGTTTAAAAAAATACCAGACATCCATCTCTAATTTGGGGTTGAAGATTCAAGAAAACACACAGGCATACAGAGAGGGAATAGCTTAAAACATGAAAAACTCACAGGCAGAAGACAGCGAAGTCATTTTTTTCACAACAGGTGGGACTTGCTCTTTCCTAAAAAGAAGAAAATAACAGTCAAATTAATTTCCATCCACCCACCCGGAAGCTCACATCAAAGAAGCCGACCGGGAGCATTTGAGGGTCCAGAGTAACTAATGGCCTTACTTATTATTCGGGGCAGAATCCTTGGTATTCGGAGCAACTTTCTTCTCATTTCCTTTGCTCTGGAAATAAAAAGAAATGATGTTTAGGCTCTGCCAAAACAAAACAAAAATGCAGCTGCTTGTTTAGAATTTAATGACGGTACTATTTTGAGAAGGTGCCCCTTGATTTCTGCCAAAACAACACAAAAAAAGTACCTCACCTATTCATCCATTCCATAGGAAAACAAAAAGCAACTCCTGGATTTTTGACAGCTAAGCCAATCAAAGTATATCTATACTGGGATGGGCAGCTATGGCCCCTTGACGAGTTTATGCTGGCTCAGTAATTCAAGGAGTTGGAAGATCACAGGTTGTAAAGAAGCCATAGCTGCCCACCCCTGCTCTATACACACAGTCCTTGACTTTCAAACACAACCGAGTCCAACGTTTCTATTGTTAAGACAGTTAAGTGAGTTTTGCCCCATTTTACAATTTTTCTTGCCACGTTTGTTAAGTGAATCACTGCAATTCTTCAATTAGTAACATGGTTGTTAAGTGACTTTGCTTTTCAGGTCGCAAAAGGAGATCATGTGATACTGCAAACCATCGTAAATATGAGTCAGTTGTTAAGTGGTTCCGAATTTTAATCACGTGTCCACGGGGATACTGCAATGGTCATTAAGTGTGAAAAACGGTCACAAGTCCCTTTTTCAGTGCCGCTGTAACTTCAATCAACCATGAAAGGAATGGTTTTTAAGTTGAGGACTCTCTCTACAAAGCTAAACTGCTGTGGGATGTTTATCCTGATGAGGGATCTGGCATTCTGATAACCTATGGATCCCCCTTCCAATCAGGTATCGGAAACCACAACGGGCAGGCTTTCCAGTTCTGGTTTGTTCTGAGGAGTATCAGCCACTGGATTTGACACCCAGGCGCTAAGGAAGGCCACTTGGAGCTATTAACTCTGCTTGAGCCTGTCAATTTTATGTCCTCGCATACCGAACAGCCCGCTTGGGTTCTACTGCAGCCAAAGGAACCAGGAAAAACCCACCCAGCAAAAACCCATTTTATGCGTTTATGGGAAATGCATAAAGCTCAAGAGTAAATACAGACAGGATGTGAATAATGTGCCAGAGCAAAAGCATCAGCAAATTCCATGCCGGGAAGATGAATTATAAATGTTAAGGTTTTTTGCATGTTTTTAAATGGTAAGACCCTGAAAAGGGAAGGCGGAACAAGATTTCATTCTTCGTGCAGGTTGCTTTCGACTTACAACGGTTCATTTAGTGACTCTTTGGAGTTACAACAGCATTAAAGAAGCAACTTATGACCGTTTTTCACGCTTATGACTGTTGCAGCATCCCCGTGATTAAAATTTGGATGTTTGGTGACTGACTCAATGTTTATGACGCGTGCAGCATTCTGGAGTCAAGATTCCCTTAACAACTGGGTTACTAATTTAACAACAGCACCGATTCAATCCACAACCGTGAAACAGGGCAAAACTCAAAACTGCCTCACTTAGCAACATGAGCTTTTGCACTCAACTATGATCGTATGTTGAGGACTACCTGTGGCACCAGAGGGACACAGGTGGGTCACAACCTCTGCTTAAAGAGGACAGCATATTGGTAGATTTAAAACAGTTTGCGTGGAAGAGTATCATAACTCCCGGAATCAAATGTTTAACAGAATTTCTGGCAAAGCAAAACAACTCTTGGAGAAACCATGAAATCTGGTGGCCTGTCCAAATTGCCATTCTTATTAAAGCAGAATTCAAGACCACGTAGGAATATTTTGAGGAAAGGAATGTACCCACAAATACTTTCCTTTTCGCAACAGATCTCTGCTTTACCTGAGTAGAAGCCACTTTGGGTTTTTCTGCTTTGGGTTTTTCTGCCACGCTTATCTTCACACGCTTGCCATTAATGAGGACAGGACAGGTTTCATTGTATTTGACAGCTGCTATTACTGCTTCCTTGTAGTTCATTTCAAGGTAAGCCTACAGAAAACAGAAAGTTTCTTATTTAAGATCCCACTCATGTTTTATTTCAGTGACATACCAGAATCCTATTGAAAGAACAGAAATAACTAGCAACAATTAAAATGCAGTATACAAACATTAATCAAAATGAGGATTACTTATCAATGCAAGAAAATATAAAACTGCTATCTATGATATTGAAGCTGTAACAAGCACTAAAAAAAATAGCAATCATGGGGTCTTTTGATGCTCTTAGTTTGGCTGTTTTCTTGCGGACATTTCATTACCCAACTAGGTCACTTCATCAGGGCTAGGACTGTCCATACTTCAGTATTTTCAATTGTTTAATTACCGTATTTTTCAGTATATAAGATGCACTTCCCACCACCCCAAAAAAGTGGGTGGAAATGCCTGTGCATCTTATACAGCAAATGCTGCCAAAACCCCGCCCCACCGGCCCTCACCCTTCAGCCTCTACCTCTGCCTCCCAGCAAACAGCCTAGTCAGCTTCAACACAGCCTGATTAGCAGAAGCAGCTGATTGCCAGCTGGAATTGCCTCCTGACGATCGGCTGTTTCAGGCTGCAGGGATTGCTATTGCCTATTGCCATCTGCGGGTGCCCATTTTCTGCCTCCACGCGCCCTTTTCCACCCGTTCTGGGTGGTGGGCATCGGAATGCATGGAAAATGGGGCACTCGGAGGTGGCAATAGGCAATGGTGATCCCTGCAGCCTGAAACAGCTGATTGTCAGAAGGCAATTCCAACTGACCATCAGCTGCTTGTGCTAAATCAGGCTGTGCTGAAGCTGACCAGACTGTTGGCTGTTTGCTGCAAGGAGGCAAATTGCTGGGAGGCAGAGGCAGATTTTTTCTTGTTTTCCTCCCCAAAAGGTAGATGTGTCTTATACTTCAGAGCGTCTTATAGTCCGAAAAATAGGGTATTTCTTCTTTTTTGTATTTTGCATTAAACTGTATACCCTGAAAGTAAACAGCCTACCAGCTATGCATGCATGCAATAGAAACAATCTTGCATTTTCCTGTGGCAATATAAATATCCAAACATATCCACCCTAATCTATCTTTGCAAAAAAAAAAAAGGGGGGGGGTGAATTTCAGCAAATTTAAGTGTATTAGAAATGTAAGAAGCTGCTTACCTCATTCTTAGAACGGTTAACTAAGATGTCACTAACTTTTCCAAAAGGCTGAACTATTTTCTTAATGTCTTGATCCGTAAAACCATCTTCTGGCAAGTCAGATATCTGAAGAATAGTCCCCAAGCTCCTGAATTTACTCCAAAACTGCAAATAATTTTTTAAAAGTAAATTTACATGATGTCCCACATTTAGTCTCTTGTATACAAATACCAAGAAACACAATAAAAAAAAACTAAGCGGTTATAGCTAACTCAAAAGAAACCAATAGCAGGACAACAGTGGTTAAAATCTACAAAGCGTATTTTCTAAAACTCCGTTGAACCTCAGATAACATTGGTATACCCGTGTTTCCCCAAAAGATAAGACCGGATCTTATTTTCTTTTGGGCCCCAAAATGAGAACTAGGGCTTATTAGGAGTGTCCCCGTCCCCCCATGTATGGGAGGCCCACTACTTCCGCTTGCTTGACAGGGCAGGCTGTGTGGCATGTCAGTGCTGCAGCCATGAGGTGGGGGTGGAGTTGCCCCACATCGGCTTACCTAAGGGCTCTCACAACCAGGCCATCCGCACCCCGACACCTGCCTCGCCTCATGGCTACGGCACCAACACACACCACTTGGCCTCTTGCTCTGTTATAGCTGTGAGCAAGCAGAAGTGGGCCAGCAGCTATGTGGGCTCCTGCTACTACCATGAGGCAGGTGTCGAGGCGTGGATGCCTGGCTGTGGGAGCCATGAAGCGTGCGTGGCCTGGCAGCTACACCATCACCCCACCTCGCCACCACAGCATCGCAAACAACTAGAGGGAATGGGTGGCCAGGCTTATTTTAGGGGTAAGGCTTATATTAGGCACATGCATAAACCACGCTAGGACTTATTTTTTGGACAGGGTTTATTTTCAGGGAAACAGGATATATATCCCAAAGGTGCTTTTTCAAGAGGCAACTAGACTTCCTTGTTTTTCTTTGAAGATGTTTCACTTCTCATCCCAGAAGCTGCTTCAGCTCTGACTAGAAGGCGGGGAATGGAAGGATTTATATTCCTTGCAGACCGCAGGTCATTTGCATTCTTTTAGAGAGTCGTTGAAGCCACTTGGAGGTTTGTTTGTGTCCTCAAGAGTTATCTGAGTAGTGCAAATGGGTGTGGAGCTTTCTTGGAACTGCTGAAAGGATTGTGTTGCTTAAAAGGTGCCACTAACACAAATGGGACGGGACTGTCCCACCAAGACTAAACAGCATGACCAAATGTAGATGACCTACCTTATTGGCCAGAACTTCCGCTTCATTTACTGGGGCTCCCAAAGGCAATTTCTTAAATTTTCCCTCAGCTGTGGTCTCTTCTTTGTTGGAACCCTCAAGAGCTTCAGGAACCTTAGTTTTACTTTCAGAGGAGCTGTGTCGGGAATGTCCTTCTTTCTTGGACAGTTTTGGGGAAACTTTAGGATTTCCGGGCTTCCCGTCCTCAAAATCAGCCGATGCTCTTTTCCCTCCTGAAAAGCCCTGGCTAAAGGCTTGTTTGTGAAAGTGTTCAACAATGCGAGGTCCCAAACATTTCATCACTGCTTCCAAGGCCTTATCTGGAGAAGAAAAGAAAGATAGCACGAGGCTTTTCAACTAATTCTTCTGCCTTGTTTTATTTTAAAGGCTCATTTGCAACAAAACAAGGGGCCCCCAAAATGTTTAGGCAACGAAATAGCAGAAAAATAATCTAAACCATGATCTTATAACACCAAGGGAACAAAACATTTTTGAAATGAACATAAATTGTATTAAAGATGGGGGGCAAGGGGGACCTACAAATCCCTACTCTCTTGAGAGGGAGTGACTGGGAAGGGTCAGGAACTTGCCCAATCTGGAAAAAATGAGTGAGAAGGGAGCATGCTGACTGGGGAATTCTGAGATTTGAAGTCCACAGGTTTTAAAGTTGACTAGGTTGGATAGTTCTATGCCATTTAAAACCTTATAATAACCAGCAGTGGGCATAGCAGCCAGCAACCTACTGGGAGACAGTGCAGTCCATGAAGGGGAGAGTACCCCACCCCTGCTTTGGGGAGTGCCATGTAGCTTCCAGATGATCTTCAAGAGAAGCTCTGCGTACCGCTTGTGGACGGAGAGTATTTGTAACTCAGGGATGAAACGAGGGGTCCTTGGTGTTCCCTCAGCGCCATTGTTTTCTTGCAGACATTTCATGACCCAACCAGGGAACGTCAGCAGTGCCACTGATGAATGGTGAAGCTACCAATGATGAATGCACTGATGATGTGCCCTGGTTGGGTCATGAAATGTCTTCAAGAAACAACCAGACTCAAGAGAGCACCAAGAACCCCACATACAGCTTATTGCAGTAAGCCAACAAAGAGTTGTATAAGGCAAAAGTTAACTCCATTTCCTCCTTGGACCCAACCCGAATTGTTGAGTAAATTTTGAGGAATTCCAAGCTGTTTTCTGTGTCTACTTCCACTTAGTGTCATGGTTCCGAATAATGATCCCAATCAAGTCAGAACTCTTTGAGACTGGAACTCTTCTCAAATATTCTCTTCATTGGGCACACCATATCGGGCACGGTCAAATGTGAATCCAACTCAAAATATTACCTGTGGTTCAGTATAATTAAAGAAGTAAATGATTTCCTTTCCCCCAAGTGTCACAGATCACGTTGCCCAACTGGGTAGCGGGCACGCTCTTCAGGCATTCTCCTCCTTTCTTGCTGAGCACTTGAGATGACCTTGGCTCTATCAGCCTCTGCCTGTGTTGTGTCTAGCACATTGTAGAATAGCATTCCAAACCTCCTATCCTCCCCCCCACATATCTGTGTGGCAACTGAGAAAGGGGGAAAAATGCCTCAGCCAGAATTGTTTTGAAAGTTGACGTTCTCTTTTAGTATGTAAAGTGGGGCTTTTTAAAAAATGAATGCTCTAAATTGGCAATGAAAATGACTGCATGAGGCCAGCACGCAATTAAAGACCATTTTCCCACTCCAACAAGTGTACCTAAATTTTGGAAGTGCTGAATAGAAATATTAGAGAGGATCCAAATATAAAAGGAATGAAAATTAAGAAGGAGGAATTTAAACTGCAAGCCTTTGCAGATGATTTGGTTTTTATTCTGGAAGATCCTCTAGAAACAGCTTTAAAACTATTGGAAAAGATAGAGATGTATGGTGAGATGGCGGGTTTGAAAATAAACAAAGATAAAACCAAGATCTTGACAAAGAATATGTTACTAAAACAAAGAGATGAATTGGTAGACTTACTGAAAATTCAAGTTACGAATAAGGTTAAATATTTGGGGATACATTTGACGTCAAGATGTACAACATTGAAAGAGAATAACTATATTAAACTTAAACAACAGATAGCATCTGATTTGAAGAAATGGGAACACTTACAATTGTCATTGATAGGTAGAATTTCAACAATCAAGATGAATATTTTACCCAGAATTTTATATTTGTTTCAAACCATACCAATGAGGCTTGGTAAAGATTACTTTGAAGAATTAAATAAAATTGTGTTGAAGTTTATATCGCAAGGTAAGAAAGCCAGAATAAAATTAAAACTTCTACAAGATGCTAGAATTAGAGGAGGATTTGGTCTTCCGAACTGGGAGTTGTATTACCAAGCTGCAAATTTAATGTGGGTTAAAGAATGGATAACATTAAGAAAGACTAGATTGTTGAGATTAGAAGGACATGATTTATTACTGGGATGGCATGCTTTTCTGTGGTATAAGGGAACTAAATCGCAGGGCTATTTTAGAAGGCACTATATAAGGGAGTCTTTATGGTTGAATTGGGAGAAAATTAAGAGAAAATGTTATTTGAAAATCCCAATCTGGTTATCAACTATTGAAGCCTTTTCTTATCCTATAATATATGAGAAGAAACAAACAGTTAGATATGGGGAAATATTGGATGAAAAGAGTGAACTTAAAACAATGCAAAAACTAGAAGAACAAGGCATAAAGATGAATTGGTTTTCATATGCGCAAATGCATTCAAGGTATCTTATAGATTCTAAAATGGAGGGATTTTATGATAAATTGACTGATTTAGACAGGATTTTGACAGGTACTGATGAAAAAATGATTAAAAAATTATACAGTTATTTGTTGGAAATTGTATTAGAGGAGGAACAAGTTAAAGAAATGATTATTGTTTGGGGGAAGAATTTTGGATATGGGATTGATTTGGAGAAATGGGAAAAATTGTGGTCTCAAAATTATAAAATGACAATGTCAACAGCTTATAAAGAAAACTTGTATAAGATGTTTTACAGGTAGCATTTTCCCCCAACAAGAATTGCAAGAATGTTCAAGAACAAATCTGAAAAGTGCTGGAAATGTCATCAAATACCGGGCTCATACTACCATATGTGGTGGACTTATGAGGATGCTAGAAAATATTGGACTAAAATTCGCATATGGTTGGAAAAAATGATAAAGACACATATAGACTTGAAACCAGAGATTTTTTTATTGGGAATCTTACCTGATACATATAATAAAAATTTGAAGTATTTGATTGTAAATGTATTAACAGCGGCTAAGATTGTATTTGCTAAAAATTGGAAGAGTGAGAAAATTCCATCAGAGGAAGAAATTATTAAGAAAATATTGGATTGTGCTGAAATGAGTAAATTGACATTTGAAATTAGAGAACAAGAAGATAAACAATTTTATGAAGTTTGGGATCTTTTTTATCAATGGTTAGATAATAAAACATAATAATAGAACATTTAGACTTAGGATATAATTTTTCTTTGATATTATTTTTATAAAACTTTATTAAGATAGTTTTGGTATGATCTTATGATTCATTGCAAAATAAATTAAGTAAATTATACTTATCTTGTTAAATTATGAATTAATAAAATTATAATTTCTTAGTGGTGATACTAGGTTACACAATTATTGATTGATAATATGAGTTATTATGTAATATAATTATATTAACGTTTAGGAAAAGGATGCACAAAAAAAAAGTGGTAAACCAACCGATACACTGTTTGTAAATTTATGAAGAATGATGTTTTTATGTTTTATGTTGTATGTCTTATGTTGTTTTAAAATAAAAAACTTTTTTTTAAAAAAAAAACAAGTGTACCTAAATACTTTCTCTCTTAAAATGAGCGCTGCCTTTAGTCCAATTTAACATGAGATACATTTGGCTGTTTGTAGGCAAGCAAGCATCTATAAACAACCACCTTACCTGGAGATCGAATATATCGTCTGGAGCCCCTCTCTCTGCTAGAAGACCTTCGAAACGAAGAAACGGCGTTATAAGGTCGCCATGGAGACCTTGACCTGTGTCTGAAATTAGGCATTGGCCGTGGACTTCGACTTCTTTGCCTGATTGATCTGTGCCTGGGACTCCTGGATCGGGACCGAGTTCGACGTCTGGCATGCCCAGAACTGGAACGCCTCGAACGCCTGGGGCTAATGCTGGCGGAACGCCGCCTGGGTGTGCCACTTTCATTTCTGTCGACCTCACGTCTATGGACAAAGAATTATATATTGACTGGTGGCTTTGATTTAATGTGAAACTTCTCTAATTACAGGCAGTCCTCATTTAACACCGATTCCTTCAAGGACCACTTGAAATTATGACGTGCTGAATAACAGAGGTACCTTGGAGGTCTTCTAGTCCAACCCCCTGCTTAGGCAGGAAACCCTACACCACTTCAGACAAATGGTTGTTCAATCTCTTCTTAAAATCTTCCAGTGATGGAGCCCTCACAACTTTTGGAGGCAAGTAGTTCCACTAGTTAATTGTTCTGTTAGGAAATTCCTCTTTAGTTCTAGGTTGCTTCTCTCCTTGATTAATTTCCATCCATTGCTTCTTGCCCTGCCTTTAGTTGCTTTGAAGAATAGGTTGAAACCCCCCCCTCCCTTTCTATGAAGCAACCCCTCAAATATTGGAAGTCTGCTATCATGATGCCCCAATTCTTTTCTTTAGACTAGCCAAAGCCAAAACCTGCAGCTAATCCTTCTTTTCACTAGACTAGGCAAACCCAATTCCTGCAAGTCTATGGAGATTCTCAGTCATCTGGGTCATGGTTGTCCCAAAGGTGCTTTTTTCAAGAGGCAAATGAAAAAGAAAAACCAGAAAGTCTAGTTGTCTCTTGTAAAAAAAGCACCTTTGGGCCAATTCCTGCAACCGTTCTTCGTATGCTTTACCCTCCATTTCCCTAATCAAGGGCCTAATGACCAACAGCTCAGCATTCTGCCCATGGTGTTTATGTGAACAAGGTGTCCCCCCCACACACACACCCTACATTTACAACCATCTTTTAATTACCCACCTATCCCTGCCAACAGCTGCCCCCATCACCCAGCCTCGCCCACCACACAGCCCGCTGTGCTGCGTATCACTGTTGTACCACCTGGGCCTGCTTTGTGCTGCCTACTTTTGTCCCTGTGTGCCACACCAAGGCTCCTCTCACACCCCAGCCAACTGGTCTTGATCCTGCAAACCAGGAGCTCGATTTTTCAAGGTAAGTCTGGGGGTGGGTGGGGAGAGACCCTAGTTGTGCCCTCAGGAAAGCCACTTCCTAGCCAGCAAAATGAGGTCCTGTCTGGCAGGCAGAAGCTCTGCCTGGAGCACAAACAGAGGCCCTTGCCGGGGCACGAAAGAGGACCTGGTAGCACCAATTGGGAAAGGAGGTGCACTTTTGCAACCTTTTCCGGTAACAACATATTGCCATGCGACCATTATGATTTTTTAAATCATTCTTTTCATTAAGATGCCATTAATTCACTCAAATGTCTTTGGAAATAAGCAGTAGGCCTCGAGTTGCCTGTGAATGAGTAGACAGCAAATATAGATTTTTCCAAACAAACAGATAAACAAACAAACAAACACCATCACATCCCAAGAAAACATCATGTATGTTACCTTTTTTGTGATGAATGGGATTCTGGATTCCAGTCAGGATATCTATTTCAAAAATAAAACCATTAATACAAGAATCCCGGAAGCTTTTATATTCTTTTCAAAATGTATTACCTTGAACCCAGTTGACCCCTTCAAGTACTGTCCCTGTTTTCACTGTCTGCCTAGCTGTGTTTCCTGCAACGTTCTCACTGCACGCATGCTGAGCTTCAGAAAGCTGCAACCACTGTGCCCGGATCCTATACAACTGGGTTGAGAATTTAAACTCATTCCTTCCTACTGGTCCCACAGTTACAGGTCAGTATTCTGGCAAAACCCACAGATCCACATTTTGCAAGGTTTGATTTAAACTTCACAATAGTTTTTAACCTACATAAGCATCTGGCCGGTCCATGAACCCCTGGCTGATTTACATGTTGGCTCCACTCATGTGAAAAGATCCTACTTTGATTTCTTCCAACTTCCAACTGACCATGAATTATCCCAGGCCTTGTAGCGGGATCTTCCTTGCTTGATCTCATAATGTCCCATTAATCGCATGCCCAAAGAATGGAACAAACCTTTTCAGAGGGATCATACTGCAAATGTTCCAGTGGATTTCATTTAAAAATAGACGGGAGCAATGATGTAAAAGTTTCACTGCATAAATTATGGTTTGCTTAATTCAAGTATTAATTGAAATGTTCATGTTAAAAAAGATGGGGACCCACAGCACCCACAATTTAGAGAAATCAAATAAAAACTCTTACTGTTGGCGTAGCTGGCGGCAGCTTTCAAGGTGTGTGGAAGAATTCTGGTGCAGAAGCCAATCCTATAGAGAACAAGCAGCCAGGAGTCAAGATTAAACTATGGACTGGGAAGATCACCAATTAATAACTTTACACCCCGCCTTTGTTCCAAGAAGATAAAAGGGATAGATCTGTTCACGCCCCTCCCCCAATGACCGCCTCTGACTCATGCCGAGTTTCTTCAAAATTCAGGAATTCTCTCAATTCTTCTGCGAAGGTGGGAAGGCAAAGATACCCATGTTGGAAAACCCATTCTATCAGCCTGTGCATTCCCTGTTGATTTCAGCCTGCCATCACAGCTCACAGCTCAGCCATATGCTGCACAGGAAAGAGCCGTGGTAGTCTGACAAATACTTAACCTGCAATTTTATGCAGGCTCAAAAGAAAATGTATTAATAGAAACACTGCAATTGCCAGAGAGAGAGAGAGAGGAGGGGGCAGAGGGAGGGAAAACAGGCACTGCTATCCTCAGGATGCATTCGGATCCTCTGGACAGGAGCAGCAATGCCTGGGGCTTCATGGCTGGAACAGAACTACAAGATGAGTGGAAAAGTGGGGAAATGTGGCATTTTGAACACATTGATGATGTGTGTCTTTTGGGCTACTAGGAGCACCCTACCTGGATCTGTGGAGCCCCAGGAAACATTAGTTTCCATGTTCCCTCATTACTATTATCAGTTATTGTCAATTCATCCAAATCACAGCTCCAGACAAAGTCCTCCTTTCTGACTTCCCCAGAATTATGACATTCCCTTTCTGGGATCTCACAAGACATCCCATTTCAAGTGGCTTTTCCTACCCAAATGGCATTTATTATGAGCATTTCTTTAAAAAAAAAACCCTCATGTTTCACGGGCCACCTCTTTTAAATAAATGAGACATATGCCCTCTTAAAATAAGCAGCAACTTATACCTGAACATAGGAGAGCCAAAATAAAACCAGTAAATTTATATTGCCGTTTTGTTTGGCACAGAGACCAAACAAAACATGTAGGAAGGAACTCGGGATCCATTAGCTGTGTTTAAGATCAAAACAAGAACAAGCCACTTTCACACACAAAGCTGACCTATCCCAGCTCAATGAGCTCCAAGGAAACCTACCTTAGATCTGCACCTGTTTATTCCCAAATATTTTGAAAGCTTTGTACTTTCGGATTAGCAATGGGATCTGCCTTGTAAAATCGATGCTTGTGGAAGAACTGAGCACTAAACCTGAACCCCCCTGACAAATGTAAATACCTTATTAAGCCACTGAATCCGGTCAATTTACTTCAGATTATCTGAGCCCAGGCCAACACTATAAAATACATTGTAGTTCAATCCTACAGTTTAGGACTTGAATATTTGATAACGTTTAACATTTTAGAGTGCATCTGGCACTCTGACTGATGTAAACAACCATCCTAGACTGCGAGCACTTTATATGCCTGCATGTATGTACAAATTAAAGACCAAATAAAAACTAGTGACTTTGTCTATTAAAGCTATTTTAAGAATTATTAAGAGGCTGAAAACACAACTTTTGAAAGAAAAACTAGAACTAAGCTTGGATTTGTCACTATTTTGTCTAAAGAACATTATATTCTATTTTGTTGTGGTCATGTGCCAAAAATACACTCTAAAAACATCTGCAATGATGCTGTTTAGTTCCTGTTTTATCCACCCCTTGAACTGTCAAGCAATGAAAAATATTGAGCCTTAATAGTGCTTTTGGAAAAAAAAATGCTGCTATACTGGATGGAGATACCAGACAGGGCCTCATGGAATGATAGCTTACTGTTATGTGTTAAGATGTATGGCTAAATGTTAAAAACCTTAACCCTCAACTGCCATTTTCCTAAGCTGCAGAGGTCCATGTGTCTCAACCTTCCCTTGGGCTGCCGCCTTCTACATATCCTCCAACTATTTTGTTCTTTTTCAGTGGCATGTGATTTCCAGAACCCTACACAGTATTTGGTATATGCACCTACCGCAGATTTTCATACGGGGATTGTTGAGCACATTGAAAATAACTTGCTTAGCAGAAAACCAACACAGTAAGCAAACAAACATAGGAAGATAACATTTATGTACAAATTGTGATCAGTGAGTGTCTCACTGCTGTGCTAAAAAGTCTCCGAGATTGGTCCAGAACATTTTAGAGGCATATGCAAAACTACTGAAATCAGAGAATGGACAGCTCAAGACCCACCAAATCTGAACAGATTCCAGGTGTGACCCAAGATGCTCTCGATTTAACCTGGAGTAAAACTTCCAATTCCTAAAACAAGTGAGCTCTAAATCATCATTCTCCAGACTTCAGATAATCTAAAATGTGTTGGAATTTCAGCTGCCATCCTCTCCAATCAACATCTCCAAGTTTAAATAGAAGTCTAGGCATCGACCTGGGAAGTAATATTTTGTATTTAAACCTTGTATGGCTTAAAAGGGTGAAGGAGTGTTATGAATAAAACAGAAAAGAAAGCATGCAATCCAACACTGTTTGGACAATGGTAGTTAAATGTCTAACTATTGCTGCGTTCTTCTTTAGAAACAGACAGTAATTGAAAGACATTTGAATCAGATACTCGTCCTAAATTCCGGACGTTTTAAAAGAATAAAACGCATAGTATAAATATCCATAAACTTGACCTCCAACAGAGAGAGAATATGTTCTGTGTAAATTATGTAATCCGATGGGGGGGGGGAGGGGAGATTTGACTCACCTTCAAATGTCTACATTCTACATTACAGAGAGAACACATATGTGGAAATATTCTCGGAGACGCAGCATAATAATCATTCATCATTGAGGGAGTCGGCAGCCTCTTCATTTTCTGGGCATCCATCTTGGAAAAAACTGGGAGCCAAGAGGCCTTCACGACCCCAAATGGAGACTTTATAGGCCCTTCGATCTCTTTCCGGAAAGGTTTTGCGGCAGGACCTGGTTCAGGGGGAGCACTAGGGCTCGGTCTGGATTCCTCATGAATCCTCTCACGCCGGTTCATACCCCCAAGCATTTCAGGTGCAAAAGGAGGAGGGGGCCCCTGGTTCATAGGTGACATCATGGGCCGAGCTACCGACGGGGGAGGCAAAGCTTGCCGAACAGGTGGGATGGCAGGCCGAGGTAGGGGTGGTGCCACAGGTGGCATGATGGGCTGGACTGCCGGAGCTACCCCAGTTCCTGTGGAAGGGGAACCCAATCCAGGCATCTTGTTAGGCGTGTCCACGGGGAAAAAAGACGGGGTGTTTGATGTGTTTCTTTGGAATCCCATCTGCCGGATTAATTCCTCAACGGCATTCATCTGTTTGCTGGTTATGCTGACTGGTGGGGCCTGCTGGGTCTGGAATCCTTTCGGGGTGTCTTTAGGGGGGCCCTCCGAACCGTAGACCTTCACCTCCAGGGGACCTTCATCGTATCTGTACTTGCTCTCGTGCCCGTAATCAATTACTTTGCCCTTGACCATGGAGCCGTGGCCTTCGTCGCTGCGGAAGTTCTCCTTTTCGCTGCTCTGCAGAGGCAAGCTTGGCACCTGATGACCCATTTTCCTCATGCGGATGTCCCTTAAAATCAAAGGCATGTTTTCAGGGGTCAGCTGATCATCTGGATAGCGACTAAGTTCTTCCAGGTCTTCGTTGGACAATCCAAAGCTTGCCAAGATACTTGAGACGCTCTCATTGGTATAGCGGCTTTGAACAGGTGGGGGATAGTCTGCCATCCTTCCTGGGATGGGCTGGTTCTGGCTATTATTTCCAGGGGGAAACGGATTGTCCCAATGAGAACCACATCCTTCCATCTTCTGCTGCTGCTGCTGCTGCTGCTGCTGCTGTTGCTGTTGCTGCTGCTGCTGCTCCATATTCATTCTCTCTGCCGCTTGTCTTGGGTCCATTCTGCGCGGAGGCACCTGAACGTTTGGCCTTGGAAATCCTGCCCTCATTTCTGATCCCATGAACCTTTGGGGCATTCCATCAGAATTAGGTGGGAACTGCCTCTGATGACCACCTGGTCCAGGTCCCGGCCTCTGAAAAGGCCCACGCGGGGTTGGATCAGGCATGCTAGGTCCCCTTGGCCTTGGCGGCATGTTTCCTCTAGGGTTAAACATGGCTAGTTTCAGGAGTGCCTCATTTAACAAAGGAGAGGAGGCTATAGAATAGTTGGAAGCAACCGAGTTCAACTGATGAAGAGCCAACTGGGTCTTAATCTGAGCCAACTGTAAAGGAGGCAGGCCCAACAGAAAGGGGCTGACAATGCCAAGGTTCAGAGAATTCACAAGAGGTGCAACATTTTCCAAGAACACCATAAAGCTGAAAGTTAAAACACACAAAAGTTAATTACATTTATTTTTAATCTACTTTTTAAAGCAGTTTTTACTGCTTTTGAGCATATTGTTGGGAAACTTTGTTTCCTTTAAAAAAAATAATTATTCATTCAGCAAAGTCGTTGCTTTCAGCAATTCCTGATTTGTTCGTTTTACTTCCGCGCTATGTACTTGGGTTCACACATCACAGAAACAAAATTTGTGAGATACACAGGGGATGAATTCACAGGACTAGCAAACCAAAACCAAACAAATCACATTGCAGCCACCCAGAGTTACTTTGGGTAATCAGATGGGAGACATATAATAAATAAAACAGCTAATACAATGTGTACAGCCTAAAAATCTTCATATTCAATTCAACTGAACAACAGGTTTCAAATGTTGCAACTTTGATTATTTTATTATATTCTTTCTGAATATATGGAACATTATATTTACAATGTCATTAGAAAAAAATCATAATACAAAAGTGTGCATATAATTGAACCTTCAATCCCTCTGCATTTACTGGAAAATTATACATACAGAATTCAGTACACATACACTAAACAACACGTAGCATCAACTGTATCTCCAATGTGGTAGCAGTGATATTCAAGCAACACTAAACACAGAACTATCGTTCAATCATGTTATTAATTACCTGGTGGACATTCTAGAAAATAAAATATTTCACAAGAGTTACTTTCCTTTCATCATGCTGTGTTTTGTACTGAACTGGGGAAATACAGCAATATATTGAAAGTGGACACAGCAAGGAAGGAAAGCAAAGGGTATGTTTTCATTTATGTGCCTTCTGTTCTGGACTGCTTTGCTCCGCAGCAACCACAGTGGCCAACTTTTTCCATGATGGCTCAGCAGTATCAGGGAGATTTTTTCCCCCTTCATTCTGACATGCTATTTAAAAAAAAGCAGCATACTGGGGGAGCAGTTTCCTTTTGTTCACTGGTTTCTGGACTCTCTGATTAGCCCTGAACAGTGGTTGCTACGCTTCCACCTGAAAGTCATATGACAGCAGGCAAACTGAATACACCAGCTTAGCCAGAGTTATACTGGTGGGCAATGACTCACAAGTAACCCTGGTTCTGGTGAACCTGAAATGGCCAAGACAGAGGCAGGCAACGTGATTCCTGCTCTTTCCAGAAAGCCACAGCTAAGGAAATCACTACTCTTTAGAAGACTATATGCGGTACCATTGTTCAGTCTTACTCTTCATTTATATAACTATTACAATATGATGTAATGTAATTGGGGCTTGCTCTGGGTACAAACAGGGTACTCTCTCAATTTAACAGAAGGGTAAGAGGTGCCCATGAAATTTGAATGCACATAATTGATTTAATCTGTCCTCTATATCAGTGTCCACAGCTTGCATAAATTAGGTCAATTGTCTGGACTGCCAATAAAGAATATTTGTAGCTCAGGGTTGAAATGAGGGGTCCTTGGTGCTCTCTGAACTTGTTTTCTTGCAGACATTTAATTACCCTAACTAGGCAACATCATCAGTGCTAGTAAGGAATCCTGTTTGCTGTCAGTTTATATTCTGTTGACTTGTTTGTCTGTGGGGGTGAGAGTGGTTTTCTTTGGTTCTTTGGTGGGATTCTTTGGTTTTACTCAAAGTTCAAAGTAATTTTTTTCTGAGGCTCAGAGAATCAAGGTTTTACTGCACTTGTCAAGCAGATTATAAACCAAACATTCATTGTGTGAAACAGAGTTAGCAACTGGGCTACAACTTGAAAAAAATGGGATTACACGGAGCACAAAATCATAACATTAAAAAAAAGACTAATAAGAAAAAAATTCATCCTCGGTCCACAATCAGATAGACTTGGGGAGCAGCTCCAAAGATCTGGGCTCATCCCAGCCCCATCTCTGGTCTAAATGCTCAACACTCAAAAAAAGCACAGGAAGATTTATACAGATGCATTCGGTGCTTTAAATAACCTAACTACTGCAAAACATTCAGAGCCTTAAATGTCAGCTTCGGTGTTTGACACCAATACAATTATTGCAAGATGACCATGGTATTTTGCCCCAGAGGTATACTGGCAGCTCTATTTCCAGACTTCCATGCTGCCTAAAGAATGCAGCAAGGATGTAGAGCAGGACAAAAGGACTTGGGCTATTTGTGTCAGTCTTGGTTTATCTTTGAATCAAATGCGTTTTCCCAAGATTGCGCACCTAGTGCCAAGACCCTAACTCCTTCTAAGGGGTTGACAGTAGGGCATTTAGGCTTCTGTGAGCTCCAAACCCTCTTCTTCCCTTTCAATCCCATCACCACCCCACAAAACAGCACAGGCAGCATTTAGAGTAATCCACTCTAAATGCAATTCAGTTGCTCACAGATTTCAACTCTGGTTAACTATCAAGTTGCCTGTTTTTTTAAAGCCACAGAGCTTCATTCAGATCTATTTGCAAACTGTATCAGTTCTTACAAGCCAAACCAACTTCGCCCTGCCTCCACCCCCCTTTCCTTCTGCAACAGGCAGCAATGTCAGATGCTTGTGTTCAGTAAGAGTTTGTGGGATTACAACACTGCTCTGCAAAATAAAAGTTCTCAAAAATAAGAGACAAGTACAGGAACATTCACTTGTGCAAGAACATTCTGCAATTTTGATGCATTTCATAAGCAGCTCACTAAAAAGCAATAGGGAATGGGAAGAAAACATTATTGGTTATGAATCAAAATGTTCAAGAGTGTGGTTGATACAGATCCAAAGGTATTAGTTGTCTTTATACAAGTCTTTGAACAACAAATTGGAATCTGTTCTGAGATGGTTCTACAGAAACTCCATGAACAATGTAATGTGTTCAGCAAGTTCTACCTAATGAGGGAAAAAAGGCTTTGATTGTGTTGCTTCTGACACCTTAACCGAGCTTTGCATTGGAAGAATTATGGAATTCTCAGAATGCTACATCCTATTGCCACACCTCCAAATATGTCCTGGCTCAGTTACTAGTGTACTGCTAGCTACAGAATCAGAACAAGACCTACCTGTGAAACTCAGACCACTGGTCAAATCAGGCACAAATACAATTTTTAATTCCCCAAACAGAACTGGCAAGTAGAATTATACTGGTCTCTTAATCGATCAGAAGAGATCGATTAAGAAGAAACTGGACAACCATTTGTCTGAAATGATATAGGGTCTCCTGCTTGAACAGGGGGTTGGACTAGAAGACCTCCAAGGTCCCTTCCAACTGTATTCTTTGTTATTAACTGCAAACCATACCTAGTGCTTGGCAGCCACAGATTGCTTTGGATTGCTCAGTTATTTTCCTGGTATTTGCTCAAAACCACCTGCATTTTCCTCTCATCTTACCCCTCCCCCACCAGAAGAAAAAACAACCCAGGAGCAACTTGTGACAGGAAGACAGATCCTGGGCTGACAAACTGATAGAAAGAAACCTAATGCACTTATTGAGCCTGAAAGAGAAAAATGTACATTCATGGAATTAATTATAGGGCTGAAAGGGACCTTGAGCATCTAGTCCAACGCCCTACCCCCAAGGTCTTTTCTTGAAGACTTCCAGGGATGGAACAATTCTGGAAGACCTTGTATTGCTGGGGGTTTTTTTCTCAAATGTGGGTGCAAAACAAGATGGAAAAAGTGGAGAAGGTCAGGGTAGAAACCATAATGCAAAAAGGGAAATAAAAACAGCATCAGCCATAAAGCAGCTAGGGGGGTGTGTGTGTGTGAGAGAGAGAGAGAGAAAGAGAGACTGAGACTGAGACTTTTTGGCTTCATGAAAGGAAAGCAGCAGAAGTCTTTCTTTCTCTCCCGCAAACTCTGCCAGAAGTGAGTCTATGTGAGACTTGTCATGCCGGCGCAGCCTCTTGGAGCAGGAGGCCTTGCAGGGTCCCAAGGACTCATTTCTGGCGGAGTTTGGGGGAGAGAAAGAAAGACTTTTGCTGCTTTCCTTGCATGCAGCCAAAAGCAGAGGGGGGGGAGAGAGAGAGAGAAGGAGGGAGGGAGATCAAACACCGGTGTCCACCTGGGTCACTTTTAAGATCTGTGGACTTCAACTCCCAGAATTCCCCACCCAACTAACCCCAAAGAACGACATGGGGGGAGGAATCCTCCCTCCCACCCCAACCAAAATATGCCTTTTTACCCCAACCCCCACCCCCCAATGGGGACTCTGCTGCAGCTTTCCTCTCCCCAAGACTTGTCACTGCTCAAAATCCACCCAACAGCAAATTCTGAAAGACTTTTACACACATAACAGCGCCACAAAGCTCCTCCTCTTGCCCTGTCAGGAAATCCCCCTTCCCCCTTTTGGGGATGCGGGGAGGGAGGCGGTTCCCAAATATGAAACGGGGCAGGCTTTTTTGGGGGGGGGGGCAAAACCCCGGACCCCCCCCCAAAAAAAAAAAAAAAAAGGAAGAAAATAAACCGTCCTCTTTTGCCAAGGGTCCCAAGGCTCGTTTTGACAGGAAAATGGGCTGCAAATAAATGTAATATATAAATGTAAAAAATAAATGTCATTAAAGTAATAAATAAATGTCGTTAAAGTAATAAATGCAAAAAACAAATGTAATAAATAATAAATGTAATAAACGTAATAAATGTAAAATGTAATAAAAGTAATAAATGTAATAAATAAATGTAATAAATAAATGTAATAAAAAAGAAATGTAATAAATAACAAACGTAATAAATAACCCGCAATAAATTCATTTAATAAATAAATGTGATAAATGTGATGAAATAAATCGGATAAAATGAATTAAGGTTTAAAAACGGCACAGGCCACCCCGAGGAACCATGGGAGGTCTGACGGGGCCTGCAGCGCCTTGCCCCGTCTCGGGTAGCGCACCTGACGGGCAGCAGGTGGGTGGGGGGGGGGAAGCCCCAAAACCGAGCCGGGCGGCCCCTGACAGGGAGGCCTCCCGTCATCGTCGTCTCCCCACCCCCCGCCTCAGCCGCCATTTTGCGGCCTTTCCGGCCCCCGCCGCCCGCCCGGGATGGCCTGGGGGAGAGGAGGTGGGGAGGCGGGGACCGACCGCAGCGCCCACCTCTTCTCTGCTCCTGGGCTCCCCTTTCCCCGGCTGCCCGCTGAGGCCTCGGTTCGCCCGAGTCGCGGCACCGGCGCTGGCCGCCTCAGAGGGAACCGCCACCGTTACCTCAGCGCCACTAGGACCGTCTGCGCAGGCGCGCCGCGCGTGCGGAGAAAAACGAAAGGGCCCCCGAGCGAGAGGGACGCCGCGCATGCGTTCCCTTCTGCGTGCCCGGGACTTCGGGCGCGAGACGCGCGGAGCGCGTTCTGCGCCTGCGCCGTCGGCTCGAATCCGTCTCAGTGTGGCGCAAAGCGGAGGGAGGGTGGAGGGAGGGAAGGAGGGAGCGGTGCGGTGCGGGATTTTAGCGCGGGTCGTGCGGTGGAAGCGCGCCTCTTCACGACGGGACGGGCAGACGTCCCCTTTGCACCCGGCAAAGGCCTGGCGGGGTCCCGCGCGCATTGAAAAGAAAGCCAATCCATGCACGGGACCCTAATCTGCTGAATTGCAGCTGGAAATTGTGCAAAACTCCTTTCGTCTAGACTGGCCATACATACCCAGTTCCTGCAACGGTTCCTCAAGTGTTTTGACCTGGAGACTAAAACATGTCAGAAAGATTGCAGGAATTGGGTTTGGCTAGTCTAGGGAAGAGAAAGACCAGGGAAGACAGGATAGCAATCTTCCAATATCTGAAGGGCTGCCGCAGAGAGGAGGAAGGAGTCAAGCTATTTTCTAAAGCACCCGAAGGCCAGGCAAGGATGGAAACTGACCAAGGAGAGATTCAACCTGGAAATAAGCAGAAAGTTCCTGACAGAACAATTAAATCATCGGTTGCTCTCTTTTCTTTGGAAGAGATTGAGAAGACCAGACTTCTCTCTAGAACACTAAAAATCTCCACAGGCTGTTCTCATCCTGGACATTCATATTTAAAAACTGTTACCATCAGGGAGGCGTTATAGGTGTCATAAAATGAGGATGAATAGATTGAGAAACAGTTTCTTTTCCAAGGCAGGAACTGTCTTGAATCAAACAGTGCATTTGTGATTTAGTCCTATTATTATTATTATTATCATCATCATCATCATCATTTTTAAATACTCTGTAGTGATTGTGTTGCGTTTGGGGCGCTGTGCTGGAGTAGCTTTCAAATTTCATTGTATTCGTGGAATAAAGGTATTTATTCTAACCACTGGAACTCCTTGCCCCTGGAAATTGTGGGTGCTCCATCTCTGGAGGCTTTTAAAGAAGGGCCACTTGTCTGGGAATGGTATTGAGTTTCCTGCCAGAGCAGGGGGTTGGACTAGAACCTCCACCCAAATTCTGATCATGTGACCATGGGGCTGCTGCAACGTCATAAGTGTGAAAAGCAGCATGTGTTCAGTGTATGATGAAAACATGATCAAGAAAAGTAACCTATGCGCAGGGGTGGGATTCTACAGGTTCTCACCTATTTGCTAGAACCGGTTAACATTCTAAGCAGTTTGGAGAACAGGTTGTTCGAAGAAATTACAGGGCTAATCCTGTAAGGAAGGCAGGAAGGAAACATTCTGGTGTTGCTTACAGAAACTGCCTTTCCATTAACCTTTATTACATTCTTGGCAGGACTAGACTTCCTGTCTCAGGAACTTCTCTGGAGTTTTTCCCCCCTCCTTTGCTGGTACTTTGCTTGTGTAGAGTGACCATTCAAAGTTACAATGGCACTGAAAAAAGTGACTTATGACCATTTTTCACACTTACGACTGTTGCAGTATCCCCACAGTCATGAGAGGCCAGGTGAGGAGATGCGTGCCTCGATGTGAGTGATATTGAGTTGGCCACACCCAGCCAATAACATGACCACCAAGCCACGTCTATCCAGTACATGACCACCAAGCCATGCCCACCACCTAAGCCACGCCCACAGAACCGGTTGTTAAAAAAATTGAATCCCACTCCTGCCTATGCACACAATTCACATACAAAATTGCAGGCTGCAGGAACCATTTGCCGGTGACTGAGGAGAAGACATAAAATCTCCAAGTGGCCTCAAGGACCCTCAGAAAGAATGCAAATGACCCAGCTGTCTGCAAGGAATATCAATCCTTCCATTCCCCACGATCCAGTCAGAGCTGTAGAAGCTTCTGGGATGAGAAGCAAAATGTCTTCAAAGAAAAAAAAAGTCGCTAGAGGGTCGTTGAGGCCACTTGGAGGCGCTTCAAAAAAATGGCAGACTACAGGAACCAGGAGCACCACTCTGGTGACCCTGAGGACACAGATAAAACTTCCAAGTGGCCTCAAGGACCCTCTGAAAGGATGCAAATGACCAGCTCTCTGCAAGGAGTATCAATCCTTCTGTTCCTCACCATCCTGTGAGAGCTGAAGAAGCTTCTGGGATGGGAAGTGAAATGTCTTCAAAGAAAAAAAAACAGAAAGTCCAGTTGCCTCTTGAAAAAAAAGGCACCTTTGCGATGACCGTTGGAAAATTACAATGGCATTGAAAAAAAGTGACTTAGGACCCCCTTTGACATTTACAACCATTGCAGCATTCCTATGGTCACACGATCAAAATTCAGATGCTTGGCAACTATGGTCCTATTTATGATGGTCGATGTGATGACCCAAAGGGGCGTGGCGCAAAAGCAACAAAGTCACAAAAGTAGGTAAAGCCCGTTTAATACCTCCAACTTGGCCGCCAATGTCCAGTTATCATCGGCTGAAGAAAAAACTCCCAAGAACAGTCTTTAAATGGAGGAAATTCAGTCCAAACCCAAAGTACATATAAATTATAAATAAAAACCAACACAAACCAAGCTGCAGCAATAAATAGAAGGGCAGGAGAAGGAATTGCAGATGTCAAAGGATAACGAAACACACACAGTTGGGAGGATGCCAGAACCCAGATAAGCGTCGACAAAGATCTTGCTTCCAACAAGGTGCTGCGTGCAAACGCCCTTTTTAACCCACCCCCTCTTTATCCTAGGGCATTCAGGGAGGAAAGGATAAGGGAGCAACATGACTTATGGGGGAGAAAAAGGCCCTGATTCCCTTCATTAGCTGCAGCTGGAAAAACAGGATAAAAAGGATGTTTGCGCACAGAACCTTGCTGGAAGCTAAGCATGAATTATCTTTGTTTGTCGAGTCTTATCTGGGTTCTGGCGTCCTCCCAACTGTGTGTGTTTCATTACCTTTTGAAGTCTGCAATTCCTTATCCTGCCCTGTCTCGTTAATTGCTGCAGCTCTGGTTTTTGTTGGTTTTTATTTATAATCTATATGTACTTCGGGTTCAGACTGAATTTCTCCCCTTTAAAAACTGTTCTTGGGACAGCTTTTTCTCCAGCTGATGATAACTGGACATCGGGGGCCAAGTTGGAGGAATTAAAGGGACTTTACCAACTTTTGTGACTTCGTTGCTTTTGTGCCATGCCCTGGGTCATCACAGCAGGTTCCTGGGGTGGGGCAGGAAGGGGATTTTGCAGTAACCTGTTCCCAGGTGTAGGGGGAGAATGGGGATTTTACAGTATCCTTCCCCTGCCATGCCCACCAAGCCACACCCACGCAACTGATAGTAAAAAATTTTTTTGAATCCGACCACTGGCAGCGTTCCCTTGCCTCTCTCTGGTGGCCTTGCTGGCTTTTCTCCTGAAGTGCTATTTTTCAACGCCCGCAGAGAGGGGAATGCTGTTAGAAAGCTGACCAAAGAGGCAGGGTGACCTCTGAGGATTAACTGTGCAAAGTTAATTTTCACTGGCTGCTAAACACTGCGTAATAAGAACCTTGGAGCAGCTGCGCCAAAGGCAGAGGATGCCCTTCGCTCTTCCACATCTCGGCACCCTTGCGCGAAACTTGTTTCCCGTCTCCTGTTCCTTCTGGATGTTCACTCTCCTCTGACTGCGGGGTTTGCGCCTGGATCACTCCCAGAATTCCTCCTCCTGTCATGTTAGCTCAGGAATTCTGGGAGTTGAAGTCCACAAGTCTTAAACTTGCCAAGTTCGAAGGCCCTTGATCCTGGCCCAAAGGAGCGGGATGCTTCCGCAATAGTGTGTTCGCAAAGCTGGCTTCGCCATTCAAAACGAGATGAAAATAAGTATTTGTAAACTGGGGTGGAATCCTGCCACCGATTTTGGTCACCAGACTACCAAAAAAAAAAAAAAAAGACGTTGAGACTCTGGAAAGAGTACAGAGAAGAGCAGCTAAGTGGGATTCAAGGCCTGGAGACTAAAACATAGGAAGAACGGTTGCAGGAACTGGGTTTGGCTAGTCTGGAGAAAAGAATTAAGGGTGACATGATAGCAGTCTTCCAATATCTGAGGGGCTGCCCCAAAGAAGAATAGAATAGGCTTTTTTTTACTATTATCACCTGTATCCTGCACTTGTCAAAAAGAGGGCTGTGAAAATGTTTACAGACCCCACACATCCTGGACATAAACTGTTTCAACTCTTCCCTCAAAACAACGCTATAGAGCCCTGCACACCAGAACAACTAGACACAAGGACAGTTTTCCCCCAAATGCCATCGCTCTGCCAAACAAATAATTCCCTCAACACTGTCCAACTATTACAAAGTCTGCGCTACTATTACTGTTAATCTTCTCACCACTCCTTATTACCCCTCCCCTCCCACTTGGGATGTATGACTGTAACTATGTTGCTTGTATCCTTACGATTTATATTGACTGTTTCCTAGTGTGATTTGATTGCTTATTGAACCCTATGACTATATTCTATTTACTATATACCCTGTGACTATATAACCCTGTGACTACTATTAAGTGTGGTACCTTATGATTCTTGACTCTTGATAAATGTCTCTTTTCTTTTATGTCCACTGAGAGCATTTGCACCAAGACAAATTCCTTGTGAGTCCAACCACACTTAGCCAATAAAGAATTCTATTCTGTTCTGTTCTATTCTATTCTATTCTATTCTATTCTATTCTATTCTATTCTATT